AAATGTCGTGGTGGCCCGGAGGTTTAAGACGCCCACTTCTCATGCATGAGGGTGCGGGTTCGAAACCTACCAACGGCAAGTACCAATGTGACTTTTTCCGAGTTACATGTACTTTCTAAGACTATCTAGACACCACTGACAAACGGTGAAGGAAAACATCGTGAGGAAACCTGGGCTTTAGAATTTCTTATTATAGGTTTGTAAATCGCCAACCCGCATTGAGCAAGCGTGGTGATTAATGCTCAAACCTTCTCCGTGTGAGAAGAGGCTTTGCTCAGCAGTGGGCATTTATAGTCTGTTGATGTGTGTGTACAGATACGAAATTTAATAAAATATTGTTTTATTAATAGAAAACTTTTATCACCTGTTTCACTACTTTTATCATCAAGTACTTGATTAATGGCTGCGTTACCACAGCAGCTGAGCAGCGCGGAGCTCGGTACCGAGTCTTAACAAGACACCTACGGCCGAATATAATAAAATACGGCCCTAAATGATAATACAGGAAATTTAGAATAATTAATAAGTTAGGAACAAAACAAAATAGAACAAAATACTGTAAATATAACAAAAAGCTTGTAAAATTAAAACTTACTTGTCCGATCTTATCTACATATAATAATTGTTGTTAATTACCCGACCGCTTAAAAAGGAAGGTTGTCATTTTCACCCTCAACTCTTAAAAAGTAAGGTTTCACCTTATCTGTTTATTGAACCTTGCATAAAATGTGTACAAATTAATATTTAAAATAAAGTTAAAATGAAACAGTTTATTTATGTATATGCCTCTCACAATCCATTATGAGACTAAAGATATACATTACGTCAGATTCAAAAATAAGGAAATACATTACAGTACATTACATTACGTCTCACCAACGTCGACTGGATAAACTTGTTGTATATTTACCTAATAATAATTATTGCATCAAAAATAATAATGGTACCGAAAAACAAATTAATCTACAGTGATCTCTGGCCGACTATAAAAATGGATCTTCGAATAACAAAACTAAACTTCCGAATAGAATATTGAACCTCCGACTAAATTACTAAGTTACCGACAACAGACGTTTTAGGTTAGGTTAGTATTGTAGCAATAAACAGTCATGTAAAGTAGTCGGAAAGTTAGTATTTTAGGCAGTAGATTTAATATTTTCAGTAACGACAATTCTTCTTTTCTTGTCGGAGGTTTTATTACTACCCAATAATAAATACAAGAAAGTTCTTAATAGTCTTTTATCAGGCGGCAACAAGGTGCGCGCCTACAACGGTGCAGTCTCCGAAAGTATTTTTTATTAAATATACATACATACATAAATATACATACAAATATAAATATATATTAAGTAAATATACATACATCACAACTATCATTGATATAACAATCCCACAGGACGAGAATCTCGTGAAAGCTCAAAAGATATAGCAAATAAATATCTTGATTTAGCTCATGAGATTGTCGACATGTCCGGTGTGGATTCAGCAGTCATCGTGCCGATAGTTGTATTGGCCAATGGCCTCATTGCTAATAGTCTCGACCAACACCTGAGGAGGCTAGCATTATATTTTTAAATGATTTTTTCATATTTAAAAATATAAGAGTCAAGTAGGTAGTAGGTACCTATAAAAATAAATAAAGGAAATAATAATACAATGTAATAACTACCGTAAGACCTACTGAATTAACTATAAAAATGACGGCTTACTCACGTCAATATATTGAGTAAAAACTCTACTAGTTTCGAGTCACTTCCTCATACGTCGACGACATAGGCGACGTCGCGTAGCCTACTCCTACTACTTAGTACAACTTTTCTCAGTATATTTACGAAGGTAAACCGTTATTTTAGTAAATTCAATAGATAAGTACCGAGGTGTAGAGGAATAACGCTTAGTGTTAAGTTCGATACCTAAGTGTTTAGGCTTTCTAGACTCATTAGCACCGACCCAGTGAACTTTAGGGCTCTAGGCACCTAACCTCTTTTGCATAGTCCCTAATATTATTTTGTAAAGGTACGTTCACACAGCATCGAGCGTTTCTCTAGTACTTCAATGAATAAATTCACACATTCATTCGCTTTCAAGACACGGCAAAAAAACCGAATCTTGCTGATGTTGACATGCGATTTTGCTGCAGAATATAAGATCCGGTGCAGTGCACATTCAGTACATGCGTCATACGATACACGCAGGGGTAGATTCGGTATTTTGCCGGATCTTGAAACCGAGTAAATCGTTGAGTCGCACAAGCTGGAAAAAGTCAGATGGTGTGTTCACACTGGATCTCGATACGAGGTAGTCGGATACGGCGTCGCCAAGATGTGCTGTGTGAATACAACATTCGGTTTTTCCAGATCCTATGCAAAGATTCGGCAAGACGTGGCTCCGTGTGAACGCACCGTAACTATTGTTTCAAAAACACTAATTTACTGGCTTTTGAACACTGTTTTCGCTGGCTACTTGTATGGAGCAATGTACACAGAATAACTTAGACACAAATAGATTCTAAGTTTAAGTCTAACTTTATGTGTGGGAGAGCCATGCATCAGCACGAATGGGCTCGACCGGTGTGATACCACGGCCTCACAGAAAACCGACGTGAAGCAACGCTTGAGTTGTGTTTCGTCGTGTGAGTGAGGAAACCGGAGGCCCAATTCTCCCCTCCCCAATCTCCCCAATTCCTGAATCCCCAACGATCCTCAAACTTCTAATCCCCAAAAGGCCGATAACGCTGTAACGCCTCTGATGTTCCAGGTGTTCATGGGCGACACCGATTGCTTACCATCAGGTGATCCGTCGCCTCGTTTACAGGTTTATTCCATAAAAAAAGTAACGTTCAAGTTCATGTAAGGTACCTAAGCTGCTAAAAAAATATCCGTTTGAAGATAGGATGGAGACTTTCTTTAACACCTGTAGCTGCGCCACTATGTTCCTAATACCTATATTGATGAATCATAAAGCAACATCAGTGAAAATTATTATCGTCATCAGTCGTTACTGGCCAAGAAACTGAAAGTCTAAAAATACAGTTATTTAACATTTCTTTGTGAAAACCTATTAAGGGTCAATTTTTCAAACATAATTTTTAACTGTAGGTTAAATTGACATAAGACAGTTTTTAGTATGAAAAAATTATCAAATATTCAAAGTTCTTCCTTAGTTAAAATTTATCTGACGTTGGAGAAATCAGCCCTAAGATAAGAATACACTAAGATTAAATAAATCAGAAAATAACCCCCAACCCGCACAAAAATAGCTTAAAATTACAAATTCCATATAAAGTCTTATACAGAAACAGGATCTTTGCCGACTTTATAACATAGTTGTCAAGTAATAAAAACATTTTATGATTCGAAAACTTTATTCGTTCCTTCATATAAAACTTGGTAACGATTTCAAGGATCGGGAGGTGAGTAGGCGAGTCCAATATTCCTGAGTTCACAATCTTCTTGCATGAAATCCTTTAGCAAAAGTTTCTTCAGGGCAGTACGGCGTACCTGTTATATCAATCAATACATAGTATAAAACAAAGTCGCTTTCGCTGTATGTCCGTATGTATGCTTAGATCTTTAAAACTACGCAACGGATTTTGATGCGGTTTTTTTTAATAGATAGAGTGATTCTTAAGGAAGGTTTATATGTATAATACATAATATAATACATAGTATAAAACAAAGTCGCTTTCGCTGTATGTCCGTATGTATGCTTAGATCTTTAAAACTACGCAACGGATTTTGATGCGGTTTTTTTTAATAGATAGAGTGATTCTTAAGGAAGGTTTATATGTATAATACATGCATATTGCACCCGTGCGAAGCCGGGGCAGGTCGCTAGTTAAATATAAATTTGCATAAATCTACCTAGTTTGCAATATACTTAGCATTAATGAGGCGTCAAATAACAGGAGACTTAACTTCTGGAAAATTCCTAGACTAATGAATGTTTCGCTTGAAGTTTGATGTGTGAATATTTAGGGGAATTAAAAAGTTTCCTGCCCTCGGGAGACTGGTACATCATCTTGGTCGTAAGTGATTCGCGTTTGAAGTAACTTTGTTATGTAATTTACGCTGCTATTTGTAGCTTTATTGTTTTACAATTTCAGAGTGTCGATTAGTTTTGTTTAGGTACTGTCTGTGTTGAAAGTGCGTGTGTTAAGAAGTCTAGACAGAATCATCGATGTTATGAGCCTGTGCATAATATTAACCTACTTCAACTAATATAACAAAACCGCACTCAGAAGGCTTAATACGATTTTGGATTGCGTTGAAAGAAACGAGACTGCGCTCGGCGCTCTGATTGGCCGGCTAAACGGTAAAATAAACTGATACTAAGGCCTCAGAAAGCCTATTCATTTAAAATATAGGTAAGGTTACTCCACCTGCTTCATTATTCAGTGTTCAGTCCGTAGCCAGTACCTTTAGAGACCATTGTATAAAAACTAAATTAAACACACCAAGCATTTAATATTTGTGAACAGTTAATTTATTAATTTAGGCACTAACAGCATTATTACACCTAAAATTGAACGCTAAATTAGACGTGATTTTTCAAATTAGCTGCGCCCAAAATGTACTCGAACTAGAAATATTTTGTAATTTTGAATGGATTTGTTAATTGAAGCTCAACTAAAAAAACGTGTATAATCTATGCATTATTTTAATATTCCAGCAAATAGAGTTAATAAATTAACTATCAATTTCAATAAATCCAATAAATTTTTCTTTAATAGAAAATACTTTAATCTTGCCAGGTTTAAACTATAAAAATACGCATCATCATCATCATCAACAGCCTATAAATGCCCACTGCTGAACCAAGAAGGAACGGGGTGGTTTTTAGTCAGTAAGAGTCTGACACTCCCTTCCACCTCACCCAGGCGGGAGAAGATATTCGATGATTTTACCCTCTTAAAAAAACTGTGTGAAGGCGTAAAACCTCTTGCCCTCAACGTACTCGCCATGTTTGTTTTGGTCAATGAAAACTAATCTTTTAGGGAAAGGGAAAAAAACTAAAAGGTCACCCCGTAAACTGACCTAAATAAAGAAAAGATAGTAAATGTTGACTAAATGACGTACAGTTGGGCAATGTTCCGCTAACCTTAGGAAATTGATCCCTTGAGTGGGCCCGTTAATCAAATTGAGTGTCGTCATCTTGTCATTCTGTTATTTCTTACTTGCTTAATTATTTCAGACATAGACTACTGATAAAACATAACATAACGTCACGCCTTTTATCCCCAAAGGGGTAGGCACAGGTGCATATTACGGCACTTAATGCCACTGTACCATGTAACGCCCACTTTTCACTATTTATGTTATGAGTCCCATGTAATAGGGGGTGAGCCTATTGCCATATACCGGGCACATTTGGGTAGTTTACTGGGTCAACAATAAATTATTTTGATTTTTCAGTCCAATTAAATATTGAAAAATAGTTGCACTTTCATTCATTGATTTGCCGATGCTATGTGCGATTTGCTATTGTGCTATTTGACGCGAAAATATGATGACGTCATAAGATGGTATTTCGTACAAAATTCATAAAACAGTATCGTTTTTGACGTTTCGATAAAAGTATTAAATTTGACTAGTTGTCAACTACCGTATTTCAGACTCCGTGCTACCGCAGAGATTTTTTTTTTAATCCAGTAGTTATACTTTGCCCGACCCCGGAATCGAACCCGAGACTCTTGCCTTCGTCGCAATTGCGACCACTTGGTCAACGAAGTAGTCTACTGATAAAAATAGACCAAAAACCAACAGAAATAATACTGAAAAAAAAAGAAGTTAACGTTTTTGAAGTCGGTAAAAATCATTTTTTATATCAATGCTTTAGTGTAGATACATCATCGTTATCATCAACAGTCTATAAAGGCCACTGCTGAGCAAAGCTTCTTCCAGCACGGAGAAGGTTTGGTTTGGTGACTACAAACATAAGTTTGAAGGTTGAAACCTGGTTTTATGATTGGTTTCTTGCCCAGGTTTCCCCACGATGTTTTCCTTCACCGTTTGTCATGTCAGTGATGTCTAAATAATCTTAGAAAGTACATATCACTCGGAAAAAGTCACATTGGTACTTGCTGTTGGTAGGTTTCGAAGTTTAGTTCAGTTTAATTTTAATTCACGACTTAGGTTTAGAAGTAAATTGTGATTTATTTTGACGTGAAGGGTTTTCGTTTGGTTTTTTTGCTCATCGACGCGTAATTAAAAGAAGTTTCGGCTTCATTCGGGTATAGCAAAACATTTCCTACCTACCTACCTTTCGAGTTTACGAGGTGACTTTGACGATCAACGCAATTCGGAATTGTGAGTAAATTTCAGAGTAGTCCCACTATGGTTGATTATTAGTTAACATACAATAGGGATGATGACAGGGTATGAAAATTAAAAATCTAATTAGTCCGTCAGTAAGGTAATGAAAAAATATTAGACACGTATTTTTTTATTTTATCGTATAATAAAATGAAACTTAGATAAAACGAATCAAAGTTTAGGAGTGGGGGCTAAAACGTCATTTCTACGTATAATATGTACATAGAAGTGACGTCACGCAACATTTCAAATCAATATATCGTCGAAAGTGTTCGTTTCTGTAAGAAAATAAAAAATACGTGTGTAATGATTTAAAATAATCTACCAGACGGACATTAAAATAAAAATTTGTTTAATAGTTAATTCCGGTACTTAGATAAGTTCATGTTTGTCATTCCCAAATTGCAGGGTCGTTAAATTGAAGTTTTCTTTTCCACTTTTCATTTTAACGAATCAGAAATCTAGTGGTAGTTTTAATCAAAGTAGGGGTATGAAGTACAAAAAGAGCACGTCTTTTTAAATAATAAAATGGAAAAGTTTAATTAAAAGTTTGTTAAACTTTATCTAATTAAAACTTTAACATATTAACGTTAACTTTTAAACAAAAACCTCGAACAATATGAACGTGTTACATTTTTAATTTTCAACCCAATTTAATCATATTATTTTTTTTATGACATAAGCCGGTAAACGAGCAGAAGGGGTAAGGCGCATGATTGGCTTAAAAGTTATTTATCTAATCGCCAACAAAGAACTGTCATCTCTAGGATAGAAAATAATACTAAAATGACATATAGTTCAGAACTAAAAGTTAATAATTTCGGAGTACCGCAGGGTAGCGTACTAGGTCCGCCATTATTTATACTATTTATTAATGATCTTAAGAAATGCTTGAAATGTGGCTGCACCCAATTTGCCGATGATACTACTCTGACAATAAAATGTTCTAATAAAAATGACATAGAAATTGATGCTAATAATGAATTAATCAACGTGATGAAGTGGCTATCGGATAATAATCTACAAGTTAATATTGAAAAAACTAAAATAATTCAATTTCAAACATGTAGCTGGTCAATAAGCCCGACGGCAATTAAATATAATAAAGCTATTATTCAACCAGTACCATCAACTTTGTTTTTAGGAATAGTCATTGACGATAAATTGAACTGGAAAGAACATGTGGAAAGGGTATGCGGTAAGCTTGATAGGTTTGTTTATGCTATCCGGAAGTTAAGACTAGTATCCAGTAAACAAACAGTTCTAAGCGCTTATCATGGTTATGTTTCATCGGTATTGAGATACGGCCTAGTCATATGGGGTAATTCAGTGGATATAGAAAGAGCATTCTTAGTACAAAAAAAAACTATCAGAGCCATGAGTGGAGCAGATTATTTAGATCATTGTAAGCCTTTGTTTAAAAAATTTAAGATTCTTCCACTCCCTTGTTTATATATTTTTGAGGTTTGTCTATTTGTTAGGAGACATCCGCATTTATTTATATTGGATGAACAAATCTCTGAGAGACTGAAAAAAATACATGCCGGTAAATTACTAGTACCTTCTCAAAGATTGCAACTGTATAGTAGAAATGCCAGTTGCATGACAATAAAAATTTATAATAAACTACCACCTGCATTGAAAATGTTACCAATGAATAAATTCAAATGTAAAATGTTTACTTGGCTACTGGACATGTGTTTTTACTCCGTTAACGAATTTTTAAATCATCCTTTTTGACCTTGTAATTAATATTTGATGCTATTAGAAATATTGACATTATGATTAATATGTAAATATATTTTTACATTAGAACCAGTAACTATGACATATATTTTCTTTTTTTTTATTCTGTTTGGTATTTATTTTTTGACATAACAATTTGGACGAAAAATGTATTATTGTTTTTTTTTTAATGAATAAATTGTATCAAATGAAGATTATTGTAATGTCTAAGATTTGCATGGACTTACCTTATTTAATATTTCTACACCAGAAATGGTAGTATATGTGTTTCTATGTCATTGTAAGATCTCAGTGTACCATGTACTTAGAAATAAATACATCTTTATCTTTATCTTTATCTTTATCAGACGGATCACCTGATGGTAAGCAATTGGCGTCGCCCATGGACACCTGGAACACCAGAGGCGTTACAACTGCGTTACCGGCCTTTTGCGGATTGTTAGGGATTCAGGAATTGGGGAGATTGGGGAAGGGGAGGGTAATTGGTAACCTCACTCACAAGACGAAACACAACGCAAGCGTTGTTTCCACAGAAATATTATTATATCTGTGGTTGTTTCACTATGGTTTTCTGTGAGGCCGTGGTATCACACTGGTCGAGCCGGCCCACTCGTGCCGAAGCATGGCTCTTCCACACTTTTCTTTTTTTTATTTTCATCCATAATTCTTTATTCTAGAACGTTTTAGTCTGTCTAGCAGACGAACTTGAGACTGCTACCTACATACAGTATAAATTATGTGTGAATGACCTCAAGTCAATCATGTCGTACGTAGAACATAGTCATTATTTTCACATTAGGCTCTAGTCTTCATCACCTGCACCTAAGAGGATGCCTAGGTGCGATGAACTAAGCTTTAAGTATTAGACACCTACAACGGATGCATCACTAAACGTGTCAGCATTTTTTGTATGTCTGATTAGTCATCTAGCTAAACTAAAAATATGGCTAGACGTAGAATTGTATCCATTAATTATATTGTGAATATAACATCATCACGCCTTTTATCCCTGAAGGGGTAGGCAGAGGTGCACACAGAAGTAACACCCACTTTTCACTGTTTATGTTATGAGTCCCATGTAATAGGGGGTAAGCCTATTGCCATATACCGGGCACGATTCAAGACTCCGTGCTACTACTGAGATTTTTTTAAAACCCAGTAATACTTTGCCTGACCCGGGAATCTAACGAGACCCCTTGCCCGGCAGTAGCACTTGCGACCTTATATTATGAACTTAATTGAAAAAGAATTACCTATGGGGGTTATTGCTCGTTGTTCTCCATAGGAACGAGCAAGAAACACCAAGGAGAATACACTTTGGACCGAGCAAATAGCTTCACTAAAGGACTGACCGACAGATTGACATTTTTTTATATTTGTTTAAAGGTTACAAGTGCCTTCCCGGTCTAGTTGAAATAGACGATTTTGACTTTAACTTTAGAATAAAAAGTCTGCGGACGCGGGTATCAGGGATTGAGTATCATCGAATGACTGCTCCCGCCTGGGTGAGGCGGGAGGGAGTGTCAGACTCTTACTGACTAAAAACCACCCCGTTCCTTCTCCTGCACGTCGAGCCGTGTGCTTAGGTACTCTTGAAACCAATTTCAATGTCAATGCAATTTCAATGCAATAAAATCTCAATAATTATTTTCAATGTCAAAACGATACAAGCCCTATCGTAGCTGTTAAAATAGCATTTAGAGTACGGAATATAAAGCCAAATTCAATACCATTTAGTTCATTCAATATCCACGCAATACGGATGCAATGGGCGCTATAGTTGCAACTCAAGAGTACGAAATTTCACAATACCAATGTCGATCGATCGGAATTGGATTCAAGAGTAAGCCCACAGGTCTGAAAGAAAGACACTTGTCTCTTTAATCTTCATAGCCCTGATAAATATTCAGCAACAGTTAGGAATCCTAACTTATATACTAATTCTTATGCAACTATTCTGGAATTGTGCCCATTGTGCTTTTAACAAAAAAAGATTTGCCAAAAGACATGTGACTAATAAAATCTCTCGGAATATGTTACACGAACACATCTCTGCATACCTAAGAATGAAACAAAATGTAAGTGGATAGGAAATATCATTCCTACGCTTCAGGAACACTGATAAGTAGGTACTCCTATTTTGTACGTGCCTTTAATCCGAAGCGACTGAGCTCACGATCCGAAGTTTACCGAACATTACCGAAGCGTTTAACTCAAATCGTAGCTCTGAGTAATTTTATCAAAATCCCTATTAAGTAGTGTGAGCTTAAAGTTTCATAGTCAAATTCAAGTAAAATATCAACCAAGAGCTCTATTCTCACCACAATTTGAGAAAGGTATTTTACTTATAGAAATTAAACATTAGGTATCATATTTTTTGTTGCATAATTTCAAGTCTAACTCTCAAGAGTTCTATTATCGCCTCTACTGAAAATTAACATTTTTGCAGATCGAACTTTGTTTTCTTGGAATGGGCGATGAAGCTATAATTGCTTTCGAGTTGTCCCAAGCGATAATTGGCTAGTTTCCTAGGTATAAAATAAATTGTTTCAACTTTGCAATGCAATAAATAGGTAATTAAAAAATAATCATACTCATTTTACAATTTACATACTTTTGTACTTTTACACGCTAATTTTAAAGAAATAAGTAAGCTATTTGACGCAGAAATATGATGACGTCATAAGTTGCGATCCAATACAAAATTCTTAGAAAATTATCGTTTTTAACATTTCAATAAAAGTATTGAATTTGACTACCTGTCAACTACCGTATTATGAAAGCTTTCGTCGTTTGTGTAAGTGGACCAATAATACATGTCGATGTATTGGTGTGTAGGTACAGTATGAACTAACCGCCAATGTCTGCCACTTCGCTTGCCGCAACTCTTCACGGATGAACATCATTTCGGGACGAAGGTGCCGATGTGCTAACGGATCCATATCTATCTGAAGCCTAGGATCGATATTCGCGAGCTGCTGGTCACTGAAAAAACAAATAAATTATTTCTAGCCTTCTTTCATTTCAACAATAACAACCCACTTCCGAGTTTATTGTTATTCTCAGGATAGGTACAGATAAAACGATATTCCTAGTATAGAAAGTTTTATCAAAAAGTTTAAAAGTACTAAATCCAGCAACAGAACCCGAGACTTTATGCATGATCGTTGCAGTTACCTAATTTACCAGATAAGGTAGCAGTTTTAGTTCAAAATTTAGACTGCATTTTACTGCCATCTATACTAGACTGCTAGAAACTATGTTTCTTGATTGATTACAACTGTTGTAAATAGATAGCGCATTTGTTGTTAACAAATAATTGTACTTCAGTGATTATTTCATTTATTGAAGCTTTTTAGTATACTTATTAAAATATGCTTTGTTTAATTTTAAAGTTATGTCAATAACAGTAGTAAGTTCATTTACAACGAAGCAGCAAATAGTGAACTTAAGAAAGAGTTCCAGAACTTTGACACCAAATAAATTAAACTATATGACCAACATAAATGCCATATTTAGGAAAATCTATGTCTGTGCAATAATAAACTATTTTTACGAAATGCTTATCCAATAAAATAAATATACGTATAGTATAACGCTACTTATGTTTTTGCCCTAAAACGAAACTAGATGTCGTTGGCAAACAGTACTTATACTGGTTCTTATTGTCTGACCACACAAAGTGAATAAATTATTTAACGTTAAATAAATAAATAATATTTTACAAATTAGCCCCAACATCGGCTTCTAGAGCTCCCGCTTCTTCTAAAGTCTCTCCTGCACCATCTTTTTCGTCTGGAGCAGACATTGTTTATCTAAAATTTTCTACCTATTAAAAATTAAGAATCAATCTAAATCCTTGATAAAATATTTAAATAAAATTATATTCTCGATTTCTTATTCGCGTTAGCAAATGTCCAATATTGACAAATATATATTTTTTTTATTCTGACTCAGAAACTTGGCCAGTACATAATAAAAAATCAAAACAAATCTTTAGCATTTTTAATCATCATTTAAACAGATCGTAAATAAAATAAAAGAACAATATTTATATTATGTTCATATTATAAAGTGAAACAGTTTTGTAAAGTAATGTTTTTTGCAGCGCCATCTGTAGCTTATTCATAAAACCAACACCAGCTGACAAAACAAAGCAGTGTACGTTCTGAATCCGTTTTCAGTTCTTATACAACCTAAAAAAATAAATATTTGGCGCAGAATTTCGTAAATAAAAATTTTAACTTTAAAATTGTTCAAGTAAATGATGTAACTAGTTCATAAAATAAAATATTTTAACCCACATAAATTATTGAAGCTACAGATGACTCATCACCATACTACATTTCAAAACGCACTCCCACTCCGGTAAAAGGGTGAGTGAACCGCCTCATTGTTATTTATTGCATTTGCCTCTAATAATACATTAATTAGCCGTTTTACGGACACAGCGAGTGCAATAACATAGGTCGCGAGAGCCATGCCGATGTGAGTAATTTAAAAGGTGTGGCACGACAAGGGGCGTAGTTTCTCGTCTAGTGACATTAGTGGTGTGAAAATATTCTTCCTAACTCGTCGCAAGATGACCGAGTACAAATTGGTGGTGGTAGGCGCGGGAGGCGTCGGTAAATCCGCATTGACTATACAGCTGATACAAAATCATTTTGTGGACGAATACGATCCTACGATCGAGGATTCGTATCGGAAGCAAGTTGTTATCGATGGTGAGACGTGTTTGTTAGACATCCTCGACACGGCGGGGCAGGAAGAGTACTCTGCCATGAGGGACCAGTACATGCGGACGGGGGAAGGCTTCCTGCTGGTGTTCGCAGTGAACAGTGCTAAAAGTTTCGAGGACATTGGCTCCTACCGGGAGCAAATCAAGCGGGTGAAGGACGCGGAGGAAGTGCCCATGGTGCTGGTGGGGAACAAATGTGACCTGCAGGCCTGGGCAGTGGACATGGCGCAGGCGCGAGAGGTGAGCCTTGTTTACATAATAAACCACTGCATACTCCACACTACATTCACATGTCTGTTGTTTGTGTACACTCTGCCAATGCACTGCAGAGCTGACCACAGAGCTGTAAACGCTTTAACAAGCATTGTGGATTGTTACACTTGACTAAACAACACCAATTTGTCTTATAATAGCTTATGTGGAGCTGTTGTAATCATCTTATGTAAGATTTTTATTTGTGTACATGCACGCATTTATTCAGTCGACTCAACTTCCTACATCACCTAAGATTAAGGCTAACCACTCTTTAAACTGAAGGATAAAGATAGAATTAATTCAATCACCTTATGCTAAAAGGTATGATGTCACAGCTATATAACAATATGATCGCTGACGACAAATACAGGTCAGTGGATAACTAGTCTCATAATATGTGACCACGAATGTACTTCATAAATTTAATATAAAAGTCACATTGTACCTTGTAAAAGTTTTGATGATGTAATCAACATAACTGAGGTGAATAATTGAAATGAACATAAAATTAATTAGAGTAAATTTTATGTATGTGTTTCTTGCGCAAGAAATCCTCGCATAAACTTAAAACAAACTGTGACTCAGAATTTGACCGAGATTTTATCTTACCTTATAATTTTGTTCTGTATAAGGATTACTCTAGATCGCCTCAGTAAACATGGTGTTAGAAGTATGTTTAAACAATTTAAGATATTTGGTAACATCGCCTAATAGTTGCACAAACAACTTGGAACTGTATTACATTAACCTCATATTCACTATATTACAAAATTCACATGTGATTTTATGTGAGGCAGTTTCAATGTTATTCTTTGTCTTTTATTTAAAGTGAAGTTGTTTTTCTTTAGTAAATATTTTGCAACTTGTTATCTTGGTGCAGAACAACAACCTGTAGCTGATATGTTTAATGCAAACATCAATAAATACTTGATGTTGAAATTGTTTATAGAAATGTATGAGACACCTGTAGCTTTGTCCACATACGAGGTTGAGGATTATACAGTGTTTTTAAACCAAATTAAGATCAATAATTACAATTTCTATATCAAAATTTTCAGTGAAATGGATTCCTTGATTATGTTGTTTTTATTATACTTGCTTTGTTGCAATAATGTATTAATTCTAGGTTGTTTTTCAATGTCAATTTAATCAAGTTGCCTACTTTGCCTGACCCAGGATGTAAATCCACTGCTTTTCAGTTTCAAAAAGCAATCCATTCTTCTATAAAATAATAATTGATCAGGAATTACATAACTACCTAGGTATATTTTATTTTTAGACCTGTGTGTCATGTCTATACCATGTAAACAAAAAGGACATTTTATTATGGACATGATAATGTCTTTAAAAGCAACAACAATTCTCTGTGGTTGCACCCAAATTTATACGCTATTTTCAAGTTCTTAACAAATTAACTAACACAAATAGTGTAAATAAATTGGGTTTTTTATTCATCCATTGTCCAGAAGCTAACCAGCTGTTAAATGTTATAGAATGGTATGAAATGTCGTCTATAATAGATGTATTAAATACAATGTCTGCGATTTATAAAGTGGTAATTTTTAATCACATTCATATGAATAAACCCCACAGCATTAATAAACAATGCACTATAAAATCAAATAATAAAATACCTAATTAAATTTACAAATAAATAAAAAGTTACCAAACAAACCATACTTCATAAACATGCAGCTATTTCCTCTTCAGACGAAACGAGAGAAAATAAGCAAGTTAGCAGGCAATTAAAATTAATTAAAATGTTCTTAAGAAGTGAGTCATATGACATCTGTACACTGTACAGTCTCATGTGCTACTTTAGTTCAATGAAAGCAGTTCATAATGCTTCACTTTCAGACGCTTGTTTCAATTATTTTCAGACTCGTAATTAAAGTGAAATTGTGTTCATCTTGGCTTTGTTTTTGTCTTCGTTTTGCTTCTTTTTTGTTACATATGCAGACTTGGATGGGTATTTTTGAGAAGAAATTATAATATAACAATGTAAATCTTGAGCTTTAACTTGTTGTTTTGAATTTATACCATGATATGAGTAGTCATATCATGGTACAAATTCAAACAACAACAACATTGTATAACTACTTATAACAATACACCAATTGAATACCATAATGGATATAGTGAAATGTTAAAGGGCTCCTAGGTAGGTATTGGCGTAGGAACGGGGTGGTTTTTAAGTAAGATAGTCTGACACTCCCTCATACTTCACTCAGGCAGGCAGTCATTCACTGATTATCCCCCGGCAAAAATAAAGTTCCTGGCTACTATTCTCCTATCTGCTATGTAGTCACTTAGAACTTTAAATCAGGGTTGTCCAAACAAAGGCCCTTTTGTGTTTTCATGCGGCCCGCGACATATATTTTGGACACCAATAGTTTGGAATTTCGATAATATTAATCTTTGTCAAAACATATACCCAATATTTGGTATAATTTATTAATATTTAGTCGTGCAACATTCCATTCGCATGATCACATAGGGAAATGATCAAAAGTGAAGCTACTTTTACTATTATTGGGGGAATTCCCGAAAAGTATTTTATTTTGTGTAGACGATTTGTTGTTGACCGTATTAGTTAAGTTGTGCTTTCACTTAAGTAGTTCGTATCGGCACATCTTGCAGCTGTTTTGAAAAAATACTTAACTAATTGCATTATGTCTATGAAGTGACGAACATTGAGTATTTAATGACAGGTGGGAAGTAACCATTTTATGTGCAATAACAGTAATATTCAGTAAATTTAATGATTTGTATGCAAGTTTTGTCTGTGAGTAAAGAATACAATGTTAATCGTCATTCATCAACAGCCTATAAATGCCCACTGCTGAGCAAAGCCTCTTCTCACACGGAGGTTTGAGCATTAATCACCACGCTTGCTCAATGCGGGTTGGCGATTACAAACTTATAATTAGAAATTATAAGCCCAGGTTTCCTCACGATGTTTTCCTTCACCGTTTGTCAGTGGTGTCTAGACAATCTTAGAAAGTACATATAACTCTATAAAAGTCACATTGGTACTTGCTGTTGGTAGGTTCGAAGTAATCGTCATTATATAACTGAAAATATTTTTCTCGCCCTCCAGGTTTTGTAAGAAATTTAATTAGCCCAGAAAGTTACAGTTTGGACAGCCCTACTTTAAATAACCAACAGTACCACCTGGTGTAGTAAACTGTAGTACTAGCAGTAGTAGAGTACTCTACACAAAGAATAATATTTGCATTACAAATCATAATAGTTATGACATAAAAACTGACAATACAATATTATGCTATAGTTTATGTCTACATTTTACGTATTCTGTTAACATTGAACTATGTTTACTGTTTCTTAATTATACACTAGAAAAAAAAGTTTTAACTTATAGATACACAACATTGTTTTTATGTAAACATTAGGTACTAGCTGGCCCGGCAAACTTGAACCGCCTAAAATTTATTTTCTCTCATCTTTTAAACCATCCCTGGAGTTCCACGAAAATGTCAAGACCAAAATTTCCCAATTCGTTTCAGCCGTTCTCGAGATTTAGCGACGCTAACGAACGGAAAATCATTTTTATTTTTATTTATGTAGATTATGTAGATTAATTATCAACACACCTTCATTTCCTGTAAGTTTAATCAGAATTGCACATTGTACATTTTTATTTAAAACTCAGTGTCATCGATTAGTTGCGGAGAACCTAACGGGTTACCGGGGCTCCGGCTCGACGTGCAGGAGAAGGAACGGGGTGGTTTTTAGTCAGTAGGTAAGAGTCTGACACTCCCTCCCGCCTCACCCAGACAAGAACATTCGATGATTTTCCACCCTTATAAAAAAGTGTCATCTGTATGTCTAATAAGAACAATTTTTAGTCCAACCCTGTAATAAAACCAAAGACCCACTAACTAACCCATAACTTACCATTCGTGGTGCGAACTACTCGACTACCGCACATAAAATCTCATTTTTATGGAGGTTACTCATTTTGTATTAATAATTTATTTATAGAATAAAAATATACCATTTGTGGTTTATATTCTATCACCATATTTGGTATTATTTGGTCAGTTCAAGGCTTGCAACTGTATACGTTTTTGATTCTCTCGTCATTTATATCAGACTTGTTTGTCCCAGAGTGATGTTAACAGATGTGTATAATATAATTTTCAAAAGTTAAACCAAAACTTGCTGTTAACATACCTAATGACCAAAAATAGACCTAAAGTTACCCAAACACACAATAATGGTAGAGTGCCCTACTCTCTAATAATGGTATGGTATAGTAGGGGTTTGTTGACTCGAAATTAACTAGCAATCATCTTTATTTATACAAAACTACATATAGGTCTACTTAGATCTACTTACATTGCAATATTATGTACACCTCTGCCTAGGATATAGACCGATGTGTTGGGGATTATAAGGCGTATCATTATGTTGTTTTCTTACCATAAACAAAAACAAACACTTTCCCTCTAAGAGAATACGACTATTAAACATGGCGGAATTTATTTATAAAAACAACAATAACTAAGGAAGTCCCATTCAGGCTTGTGTATATAGAGGTAAATGTAAATAAACAAAACATAACATCACGCCTTTTATCTCCGAAGGGGTATTCAGAGATGCACATTACGGCACTGTACAATGTAACACCCACTTTTCACTACCTATTTATGTTATGAGTCCCATGTAATAGGGGGTGAGTCTATTGCCATATCCCGGGCACAATTCAGACTCCGTGCTACTACTGAGATTTTTTTTAAATCCCAGTAATACTTTGCCCGACCCGGGAATCGAACCCGTGACCCCTTGCCCGGCAGTCACACTTGCGACCACTCGGCCAATGAGGCAGTCAAAATATACAGCTTGATAATTAATTAATAAAGACTTAGGTTATTACCCCTTTAATGCAATAATGTGATTTATATGGTCAACGGTCCGATAAGTTGTAAACATCAAGTTCTATCGCCATTTAGTAAATTTTCCTGCAAAAGTGTTTTATGTATGTATCACAGTTCACAATAACATCATAAGTTCATTAAGTACCTAAATTGTGTCATTATTTTGTTTGTAATGAATGTATAGTATTTATAAATCTTTAATGTATTGGTTTATAGTATTCGATATGGGCATATAATGCCTGAAATAAATAGATAAATAAAAAATAATAAAAAGTAATCCCGGAAAGCGATGCAAATATCCAAAGTAACTGCAAATTTTCTCCACTTTTGTTGTGACTGTATTGTCATACACCAGTCACAAATCATCAATAATACTTTTCATTCAGCTTTTCCTAACTTAAGACTTCTTTCTTTCAAATCTTACCGACACTGACATTCTCTCGCCCCACCTAAGACGGAAAAAGTCATTTCAGAATTGACTGTGCTGTGCAACTGTGCAAATGGGCTGAAATACCAAAAAAAATACTGAGGAGAATTCTCAATAAATAAAATGTAATCAGTTACTATGGGTGGTCTCCGAAATGCTCCTCCTATGTTAGGGATCATTCTAGTATTCGTTTATTATTTCGTTAATAACAACTGGTTATGTCAAACACGGAACGAAGCCCTCTATAAACAATGCCTGCTTCAAAACAGGAAGCTTGCTTAGATGACGAATATCTATTTCGGATAAAAAAGTTTAGAGTGCTTGAATTCTAATGATGAAACTTAACGACAGATTATGTGGAGAAATCCTAAGAAAACCACACACAAAGAGCGCGTATTTGATAGGAAGCCTTATTAAATTTGATATACCTATTAAACTGTCAAACACCAAGCGGTCACCGGTGACCGCAACCTATTGTTCTATAATTGTGTCTACAAAACCGGTACTCGACGAGGTAATTTTAACTTAATACAAGTCTTATAGTAATCTTATAGAATCAGCATCACACATCAAATTAGCTGCCCATGACAGTCCATTGCAGGTCTGCAGGACATCCATTTTTTGGGTCTCCTACACAACACCAGGCCTTTTATCCCCGAAAGGGTACGCAGAGGTGCACATTACGTCACTGTACAATGTAACACCCACTTTTCACTATTTATGTTTATGAGTCCCATGTTATAGGGGGAGATATATAATTGGGTCTCCTTTTCTGTATAAAATCAATGATCTTCTCTTAATTCTTACTTTGGAATGTCCAAAATATAGGTACATCGGAACGGTTGGTTATCCTCTCCCTTCCAGCTATTTTTATTATTTTCATAATCGTATACTCTGAGTAATAAGTACCAAAGTGTGCATTGAACACAAGTACATAATAAATGGATAACTGTTGTAGCATTAGTCACTTAAACAATGTTTTTATGAGTTTAAAATGAACCTACTGTGTAATAAGACACTGTAGGTATACTTTAATTAAATCATCGTATATGAGTAACTTCCTCGTGTAATATTAAATAAAGATACACAAGTGAAGCGTCAGACAATACTAGGTTACATACCTGTCTCTAGGTCGAGGTCTTTACGTCGCTTAGTTTGTAGAAATGACCCTGAAATGAGGCTTAAAATTGATTTATTTAATAAAATGCTGGCATTCAGCCAGTTGGTTTAAACTCCATAGTCCATCCGTAGCCTTACTGACCCCTAAATAATTGGGGTAGCACCAAAAGAAAATGTGTTGCTACTGCTTAGTTCTACTATTAGTCAAATAGAGACACAAAAACAGCGTTTATAGTGATTATTTGCAGACATCTAAATTCTTTATTCAATTTTTACTGTATCACGGAGTTTAAGATGACACGGTGAAGCTATAAACATACCTCCTATAAAACCCCTTTCAAGACCAACCAGACCAGACAGCAAAACTGTAGAATGATCTGTCGTCGGCGGCATTTCCGAACTGATACGACCTTCAAACATTCAAGAAAAGAGCGTATTCCTTTTTAAAAGGCCGCACCTGTGCCTCTTCTTGTGTTGCGGATGTCCAATAATCTTTATTTTACAACAAACACGTAACTGTTTCAAACTACTCTTTTCATCGGTTTTAACCGATGAAGGCCAAAACAATTTAAACAATTTTTGTATTAGTCAAATGTCCTATCTGTTTTCGCAACCGAAAATGTTCAAGTAATTCGATTAGTGGTTAGAAATTTTTGGGTACTGTCTGCCATCCGCCAACTTAATGGATGACCTTTCAACCTTTAAGCCTCTTTCTGAAGTTCAACTTTGAAGGGTTTAACTGAAAGTTTGTGGCCAAAGTTTAACTGTCATGGGGGTATTGTTCTCGAGGGTTAGGGGAAGCAACTGTTCGTTGTTTTGTGGTTACATCGCGGAATGGAATCGAGATTCTTGTCTGTTTTCATTTCACGTTCACAATATAATATGAATTAGTTATTCAACACTAATCTATAACTGTACTTGGTACATTTCTCAGTCTTATGTTAAACTAATTGTTGCCGGCGACTTCGTCCGCGAAGAATATGATTCCTCTTTTATCTAATGAGAACATTTAATCGGGATAAAACGTATATCACCTGCCTGTATCCCAAATTTCATCAAAATCCGTTCAGTAGTTTCAGCGTGTTTTACGGACAAACATCCAAACAAAGGTTGGAGCATCGTAAATGCTCTGCATAATATTAGTACAGTCAAACCTACTATGGTCCCTAACAAACCTACTGTAACTAGAACGTGACATAACTAATGTTATTAACTAATTAATTCCACAAGTCCAGACTGCAATTCGAAATGAAATTTTTTCAAACGAAAAATCACATCGGTAGTTCTATGTTCTACGAGCTTGTTAACACTGATTTGACCTACATATCAGACGATATCAGTCATGCACTAATAAAATAAATCGTCCTAGCCGTCCTACCTAAATCTAAATGCGTTTAGCATGTGCCGTCATAGCCGCTTTTTAGCCTTTCTTTGACGTCATAGACGTTTCATTTACGTCACCTCGTCAAACAGAGTCAACTTTGTCTATTGTGTTGTCTGATGCCTGTCTGGTTTTTTGTATATTTAATAACTATTTAAATTTATGTAGGTATACTTAGCAATTACTAGATAGTGAAGTTTCTTGCTCGTTCTTCTTCATACGAATCTAAACTTTAGAACGAACACCTAGCTTCACTGGCGGACTGTTCTGTATTGAGTTGAGTTTAAATGAACTTTCTTTCTTTATTTTGACTTTACAAGTCATTCTAAATGTGATAAGATGAGGTCTATAATTGTATCCTGTGTTGGGCAAATTAGGTCGAATTAGGAGTGTCCGATCTTTAGCAATATTTGGTCGTAACTGTCATAGAGTATTGAGCTATGTGTACTATAAATTTGTCAGGGCAATATATAGGCAGTTGTCATATTATATCTTTTAAACTTATCTTATTTAATGTATCTTTTAACGATGTTATTTTAATTCCCATTTTAACTGCTGCGAGGATGAGGTGGGTAATGAGAGTGAGTAGTGTACATGGTACGAACATGTTAAAATAATTAAAGTGGGACCTCTTTACTTAAAAACTTAAGGGGTGTTTAAGCCGAGTTCAGACTTGATTGTTGTTTGCTATTCTTTTACACAATAGCAAAATAATGTCTTGGCGCTCTGTAGTTTTTACTTGCCCTCTTAAACAAGGACGTGCTTTTATGAACATCTGTGTAAACTACGAATTTACGAACCTGACACTTTATTCACAAGTATAGGTGTTGAACACACCTCCTTACACCAAATATTGCGATTGCAATGACTGATTTCGACATCACGCAGTTTTAAGAGCCTACCATCAACATCCCACAACACCCCTTTAATCGTGTTCTGAAACACGATTAAATGGAGATTATAACATTTAATTACAAAGTGATAAAGCTGTATTATTACGATTGCAGGTGGCGCGAAGTTACGGTGTTCCCTTCGTCGAGACGTCAGCCAAGACCCGCATGGGAGTCGATGACGCATTCTACACACTTGTTCGAGAAATCCGCAAGGACAAAGCGAGTCGAGTAAAAAGGAATAGGAGAGGACGAACCATAGGCCCCGGACGAAAGTTTAGGTGCACCTTTCTCTAATTCGATAAATAATTTAGTACTAATATTTGTGGATATTATCTGACGGTTGACGGTGAACGTGTAAGTCAATTTTATTGTCGACAAACTACCCTTTAGTTAATGATCGATTATTTCAAAGGTAATCGATTAACAATCGATTAACCTTTCTTAGGCTAGACTACAAATTACACAAAATAGTTTTTGTTTACAATAATATTGACTTCGTACCAGTGGGGTAGATCGACTACACAGCTCATGAACGTGAAAATTGAATCTTATAACCCACGTTTTAAGGTTCCATTTTGGCTTTCCATAGTGTAGCTAACTTTAGGAGAATCGCTAAAGGAATGAAGTAAATACTTATTAGCCTTAATATAAATTTATATTACGAAAACTTCAGATCAGCAGTTAAATCTATTTGTGGCCCATCCTGAATCTATTTACTAATCAGCCATATATGCAAACCATACATTATACAAATATATAAGTGATATAGAATAAAAAACTATATGCAACCAGTCAAACATGATTTATAAACATTTGATGCAAATCAATTTAGATACTTATGCGCTTTTCGACTAATTTTTACCATTTATATAAAAACATTCTACATAACATGTAATCCTTGTATAATATTATTTGTAATTAGCTAATCTCTGTGAGAAATATCCATAAATATTAAATAATATAATGTAGTAATGAGGCAGTTCTAAAATCTTTGGCGTTCTTCTGGGGCTGAGTAAAAATAATATGAAAAAAAAGAACCTTTTTGTACAGTGAAATATTTCAGAAGTTATGTACTTTGTGCTTATTTTGTATGAGATACTTCAAGCTTGAATGTGTGGACATGAGTGTATCTTTGTGAGGGTACCTGAAGATACAAGTTCATTGTTCAGTGTTCTACTCATACCGAAATAATAAGAAGATTCTCGTTGATCGAGTATTGGTAATCGCTTTTAAGGGCTTAGTACAAATTTGTTTTACATTTAAAGTAAACGAAACAAGACCGCGTTCGGCGCATTGATTAGCCGGCACCAAAGCACCAACCAATGAGAGCGCCGAACGCGATCTCGTTAATAGAACAAACTTGTACTAAGGCCTTTGCTGACCAAGTGGTCTGAAATTAAAGAAAACTATTAGACAAATTATATTATATATTAACACATGAGTAGAACCGTAAACAATGAACTAATTTAAACTTGTCTCAATAAAGTTAGTATGATTATAAGCTGAAGCTAAAGTTTATTCTATGAATTAGAATACACCTCTCATTGAAGATATCTACTAAGTTAGCGGGGTTTATCATTACCGCCCCTCTAACCATAGACTTCAGTCTTGACTGACGGAGGATAGACAAGATTCTAATTATTTATTTTTAAGTATTAATCCCAAATTAGAGAATTAAGAATAATTGTTTGAGGCGAGAAAAGCTGTATGATAAGTTTCCAATCATGAGGGTGATCTTTTACTAAGCTTTTTGAGCACTTTCTATCCTTTTATTCTATTTAATGTTATATCTGAATTTTTCTATAATACTCAACTTACAAGTTCTGGCATTCAGTTCTCAAGGTGCTATTTGGAACATAGTATGCTTGCAGAGGCCGTATATGTAAAGAAATGTAAGTGTGTATCTATATCATACTGCTTTATACATAAACTACAGCTGTACTTACTGCCTAAGTCTTACGTACTGTATTTCTTAACCTCCAGAATATTCCATTAAAATGCATATTTTTAATGACGTCAGAAAATGAGAGGAGGGCTGGAATTACGTCATAATGGTTGTGCATTATACAAGTACAAGTTTAGATTGGTTATAGACAATTTGTTTAGTACAAATAGTGCACAATTGTTTATTTACACTTACGGTTTCTTATTTCATTTTTATTGGGGCGTAGAATTCAAACGAGAAGTATAATAATTGTGACAATTGCACCGCGGGCTCAGTCCTACATCATATCATTACTACAGTAAGCATTTGTTACATTTTGTGCCCTCTTTATAAGGTCCTTTCTTAGTTGTTTTCTTACTGTTATGTCTAACTCTTTCATTTAATATTTGGCTAAGCTCATCATGAGGAGTCATAATCTAGAGTCCAGTGATCTATGCCTTAATATCTACAATATTATACATGATATCAATTAAAAATCTGTGGAATGCTACTAGGTGTAGTTCCTAAGAAAGAGTAGGAACTAATTTGTGGTAGTCTACTAGTTTATATTCTTGTTAATGGTTATCTAATTGATTCTTCAACTCGTGTAGATCGTGCCCTCCTCTCCTCCGTAACCCGAATGACTAGCAATAATATCATTATACAATCGTTATTGTAGCATAATATTAGGAGCATTGTTGAATGTTTTCTACTTTAGCTAGAAGCAATTTTGCAAGCTATGTTGAAGTTTATACTACTTTATGACTTACGCTTGTATTTTTTGGTAAAATAATTAAACGTAAATAGGATTTGTAGTACCTATTTCCTTTGCCGTAACAGTTCGTCGAAATAATTGGCAACATTATTTTTTGGCAAAGGACGTATCGTACAAATCCTATTTAGTTACGCTTAAAATTGCTCATAAATTGCCCTCTATGAACTTCTTAGGGAATTCGGTTGTTTTATCCAATTCTAATATTGCGTGTTATACATAAGTAATCATGCAAAATGTTTTACAGTGTTTATATTTTACTCAGCATGTACAATGAATTATTCAAACGAATTTTATCAGATATCAACAATCATACTTTTAATATTTTGACAGCGTTTTTATTTAGGATTTTAAGTTAATATTACAATTTTTAGTTATAATATAGTTATAGTATAAAAATACACCAGGTACTTCCTATGTTTTGTTTTTTGACGGATTGTATTGTCAGTATAAAATATTCTTGTTAGACCTAATCACTTATTAGCGTTCAAATCTTATTTTTAGCCCAAATACACCGCTCTGAAGGCAGGCTTTTGAGTGCATGAACTAGACGTAAATAGACACGGTCGATAATGAGCTAAAACCACGGCAATGTACTTGTAGCCTACTTCAGAGGGGTTGTTATTTGACTTGTGCGAGTTACACGTGCAGCAAATGAATTTTATGCATGTTACCGAAGGCCCGTTAATAACACTGACAACAGCGATAAAAACAAAAAATGCATACAAAAAACTTTACCAGAGTCAATGTTAGTTACGTGCAGTCAGTACCATTTATCCTTTCATTAGGTGCCAAAATAAAAGTACTTGGTATATTTTTATGAATTATGTAATTTAAGTTCGAACGAAAAATCCAAGCTGCCATGAAAATCGTCATCAGCCAGAATAATTTTTGCCATGAATTATATATACCTACACCCATTTCGTAGCCATAATTTTGTATTTAACGAAAATATTTTTTAAAGCTTTGCAATAAACATTTACAATATAAAAATCTATGTAAAGCTGTATATGAATATTAAGTAGCTGGTGAGCGTTGTTCAAATGATTACTTTTTTCTTAAGTAGTTTTAATTTTGTCCTGAAAAAGAATTATAATATTTGAGACAACGCTCACAAGCGAGGGCGTATAGTATGTAATATTTTTTATTATATTAAATATAAATTTCAAAGCTAGTGCACAATTTTGTTGGAAATAGTTGATATTTTATAACTAATTAATTCTGTAACAATATAGCACAAGACTGTGTGCTAATTGAAATAAATAAAATTGACGAGGTAAAGCGTTTTATTTATTTATTTACAATTCTTAAATCTATGAAACCTAAACAACCGATTTCAAGGGGTCTACCTACCGTTTTTGTGCTCACCGTATGGCGCTAGTGTGAACCTCACGTTCTTCGTCCAATAGGGAATTGGCTAGTGTCACAACCATTGGATGTTCAATATTTCACATGTCACATCTGCCGTAATGGACAAAAAATTGTAACTGTTGTGCCTGGTATGTAATCTAAATATAAGAAGATATTATATCTGCTTACCCTTTCGAGATAAATATTTTCTACAAATATTGACAAAAACTTTTTAACCGTAAATTATTTTTTTGGGTTGGGCACTCTAATCCAACTGTCAATGTCAAGAATGTATAACACACGTCATTGATGTCATCAAAAACTTGTAAACATTCAGTAATTTGTTTTATTTCATTAATTTATTAAGAAAAATACAATACATCAAAAACTATGGACGCGAAAGACGTATGTGTGGAAATAGAGAACGATGAGTTTTACAGCAAGTTCTTAGACGAGTCTATAAAACCAATAATCAATGATCAACTATCGGTCACTGATCAAGTGAATAAACTCACTCAGGGCATTGAAAAACTTACCAAAAGCTTGGAGAAACAAGTTTTAGCCAAACATAATGATCTACTTACACAGGCAAGTCATATTTCTGACCTAGAACTAACTTTAGAATCGGTACAGTCGCAAGTGCAAAGTTTGCTACGCGGTGCCGAAAAACTAAAAGATAGAGTACACACACCGTACTATGCGCTAGAAAACCAAACAATGATGCTCGAAAGAGTTCAAACAACGTGTAATTTGTTAAGACACGCCTCTAAAATCCTTGCTTTATGGAATAAACTACAGAGTATCAAAGATAACCCATCCAAAGAAGCCATTATAATATTTGAGCTTAATGAGCTGATTAGTGACTACGATTTTGAAGGAATAGATCTTCTAGACGAAGTGTTGAAGGCTGTTCAACTTAGGAGGACAGAGTTACTAACCAACTCTACTGAACTATTGCAATCAAGCCTTCTAAGCGGAGACAAAGCTAAACTGTTGCAATGCTTCAAAGTGTTCCACAACCTGCAATGTACAGAGGAACAGATCAAAAACTCTGTCAATAGTATTCTGAGTGACTTGAAAAAGGAAATAACAAATGCACTGAATGTACAAATGGTTTCAATTGAGGTCAAGAAATCCAGCTCAGGAAGAATTGCTCCTGGAAAAGCTAACATCATGAATGCTCAAGATTTTAAAATAAAACTTTGGGACAACATTGAGAAGCTTTTTAAAGTTGATATCTACAACAGCTGTACTAAAGTCATAATGCTTCAAAATGTTGTTAATGAGTTACATGCTATTGGAAATTTCAGGAATATAGCCAAGAACTTTTGGGCTGATTTATCCCTCGTTTTCAGCAGTGAACTTGAGAAGAGTCCTCTCACTGTCAATCAGTCTGTAGAGATTGATTTCCCAAGATTACTGAAAAGCTTCAATGATTTACTCTCTAGACTCAAATGTAAGGATCTAGAGATGAACCGTTCAAGTCTTACAAAATGGGAGAATTCATTTTTATCAAAATCTCTAGGCAAGTTACTGGAACCTGTCAGAAGCATGTGGCATCTATCTCAAGTACCAAACATGGATCAAATAGACAATGCCATCAGAGTCATCGCTGAGGCCCTGAGCATCTCACTTGGTGACAAACAGTTAAGCATCAGCTTGGCTAATAGTGTGGCCAAGTCCATCAAGCAAATGACTGTTGAAGCTGAGCAGAGAATATCCATGGACAGTGATGTTGCTCAGATCATAGAACCGCCAACCAGCTCACAGCAAAAGAATGCTGATCTCTGCAACTCCTTGTACTACTTCTCATCTCAAATTAAAAGAGTACTTGTAAACATGAACTCAATGTTGCCCCAAGAAAGTATACAAATAGTCCAGAATAGTTTGAAAGATATTTCCAGCATGCCCATTCTGCAACTGTTTGCAGAATCCATTAAGAATTCACTATATATTATATTGATGACAATGCATGATGAGCCCGATTTGATCAGGGCTGATGACCCAACTGGGAAGACATTGTCATGTTCTCCTTATATGAAAGAGTTGCAGCAATTTGTGTCCAGGTGCAAAGATATTTACTTGTCAATGTTCAATGAAAAATCAGCTCTAAATGAGTGCTGTGTGGACATAGCTAGAGCTTGCATTGAGAGGTTTACTCAGCACATCTGTAATGTGAGGCCACTGAGTAAGTTTGGGCGAGCAAAGTTGCAGATAGACTGCAAACATTTAGAGACTGCATTATCTCCTTTACTGAATGATATAACTGAGTTAGGAGATCATTACAGACAGTTGAAGGCCTTGCATCTCTTGCTGGAGAAGACTCCTCAAGAAATAGCCAAGAGTCAGACAGAAGGTGCCTGTTTACCATATTCTTTGGTAATGATGTTCTTGTTCTCCCACGGTGGGCATCAACTGTTGGCTCCGCATACATGTGCTGGTTGGAGCATACAGAAGTTGATGCAGTGGTTGGACTCCCATAAGAATGAGAGGGACAGGTTAGAGTTTGTGGCTGGAGCCTTGCAGAGATATCAGAACCATGTCAGACAGAATCAAATCGCGACATATGATGAAGTGTACCCAGTGCTGCTACAACTGCTGGAAGATGGCAGAAAGTCTTTGAAGAAATAGAATTTTTGTTAAGTATTACATAAATGAGATGCATTTTAAGCTAGTAATGTGTTATCGTTTATTTTATCTTAAGCTATCTCAGCCATAGTTATATTTTAAGTTATCACAAAAAGGGTTTTTAAAATGAAACTATTATTTCAAATATATATTATTTATTGAAAATAAACTTGTTTAAAACAAAAACAGTGTCTTCTTTGGCCTCCATCCTCTACATACAAGTGTTGTTCGCGATGTTGCCCACTTCGATCTGACGCAAGACATAAGTATTATAATTTAATTTCTTTCTTTCTTCTTCTTTTTCACCTTCTCCTAGAAAATGAGGAAAGGATAGTAATTCTAGCAAATGGAAGCAATGTCTTGATGTGTAAGGCACTAAGGCTTACTTTGAAATTATATTTACGAGATTGAGAAACAGGGTGGGAGTGACCTTTGCTACCTTTAGAATAGGCCTATCAAAATTTATGTGAGCTTCGGTATACCATAGAAGCCCAACTTATATTAACTTGTAGTTGTAACTACTAACAAAATTGCCGTGCCTATGGACTCTGTGGTCTGAAATAAATGATTATTATTTATTTATAACAACTTGAAATCCAGATCTTCCTGATCCTGACGTACCCTGATGGCAGTCCTAGTGGTGCCTATGATCATGATATGAACTATTGTAACATTCTTTATAAGTAATTAAGTTTACAGCGCGCCTAATGGTAAGCGGTCACCGTAGCCGACTATGTAGAAAACTGCTTAACTGCGCCTTAATATTCGAGGAGAACTCCCCGAAAGTTATGGCGCAATCAAACAGCCAAGATGGACACCCGGAACTTACCAAATGAAACACAGCAACATTACGTCATCACTTCGCGCTTGCATTGTGATTTCTGTGAGAGGGTGGCGTACATTAAAAAAAACAGGAACAAATAGTTAAATAAAAATATTACATAGAAACTAAACGCAAAGCTATCAGGGCAACTAAAGAAAACTACAGAAATAAAAAAAAGAAAATATTTAATTCCATTCAACAACGTAATATAATATCTACTCAAGCATTTCCACACACACAATCTACATAGCAATATCTACATACTTCATACTTCGGTACTTATAATAAACAAATGCATAGACTTATAATGAAATTGGACATGTTTACTATTTTACTGGGATCAATCTGTGATGTTACACAGGGCCGGATTGCGATCATGACATATCGAACCATTATTCGTTTGTTTAAAGGGTTTATTAACTCACGAACCTTAATCCAGCCCTGTACTTGATAATCGTAGTTGGTCTACTTCTAAAATATTTATTGTTGTTTTTGGTCATTAATACTGGAAGTAGTTTATTTCATTGACGGTTTAGTGAAAATATACTACAACAAAATCATCAACAAAAGCTACACAATTTCTGAATAAAATGCCCAGAATTGTAATGAAGTGGTAATTGAGAAAGTTTGGCGAATAATAAGAAAGTGCTGCCTCTCATGTTATAAACATTTACACTTACAAATAACTATGAAACATATTATATACATATAAATATTGTCTCATTCCCAATTCCATACAAAAATATTCCACCAATTCCATAATAATCCAATATCTATTAAAGCCTACTTGGACTTATTACAAGAAGATGTCTACTGGCAAACTAAACTAAACCTTAAGTAGTTAGGCTACAGTCTATGATTGAACCTGTTGTTGTTGCTGATCGAAGGCGATCTTGAGAATCTCGTCGAAATCGCTGACAAAGTGTATGTCGACCTTTTCTCGAATGAAGCTCGGCAGGTCGTCGTAGTCACGTCTGTTCTCCTCGGGAAGGACCACACAACAGACTCCTGCACGTTTAGCCTGAGGGAAAATAATGGAGTATTAGAAAGCGAGTAACTGAAATATTAACGTATAGCTTAATATGGTAAACGAGCTGACGGATCACCTGATGGTAAACAATCAGCGTCGCCTGTGGACACCCGGAACACAAGTGCGTTACCGGCCTTTTGGGGATTAAGAATTTAAGGATTGTTGAAGATACAAGGATTGGGGTGATGGTGGAAGGAATAATTGGGCCTTCGGTAACCTAACTCACACGACGAAACACAATGCAAGCGTTGTTTCACGTAGCTTATAAAGTGTTATTTTATCCCATAAATAAACCCAAAGTATGTGGGCCACATCACACAAATGCCACGTAAGTGGTGTGAGTATTCTTTGGTTGGTCATTACCTAAACCCAGATTTCACCTTCAAAGTTTACAATTGCTAGATCTACATAAGTCTTATCCAGACATGTATCGTTGTGAAATTTGTGTAAGACCAGTTAATAGGTCTATTGAGCTCGATATAAAAGTACGTACAGGAGAAAAACAAAACAGATTGACCAACTATTCCTCTAAAAAGTACAACATACCGCAATAATCTTCTCCTTGATCCCTCCAACGGGCAGCACTCTCCCAGTGAGTGAGATCTCGCCCGTCATGGCGAGGTCGGGGCGCACGGGGCGGCGCAGCGCCAGGGACGTCAGCGCCGTCGCGATGGTGCAGCCGGCCGACGGGCCGTCCTTCGGGGTCGCGCCTTCTGGCACGTGCAGGTGGATGTGACTGGAATACCATAGATGTTGTGTTAATATACGACCCATTTTCTAGTCGACATCAAGCTCTTAAACTTAAAGATAACTTAAACTTTTCCTTAAAATAAAACTAGCGACCCGCCCCGGCTTCGCTCGAGTGCAATATGCATATATTATACACTAGCTACTTCCGCGCGGTTTCACACGCTCTGCTCAGCTCCTATTGGTCGTAGCGTGATGTTTTATAGCCTATAGCCATCCTCGATAAATGCGCTATCCAACACAAAAATAATTATTCAAATCAGACTTGTAATTACGGAGATTAGCGCGTTCCAACAAACAAACAAAAAAAAACAAATTCTTCCGCTTTATATAATAGTATAAGATGTAAACCTTCCTTAAGAATCACTCTATCTATTAAAGAAAACCGCACCAAAATCCGTTGCGTAGTTTTAAAGACCTAAGCATACATAGGGACAGACAGATGGCGGATAGCGACTTTGTTTTATAATATGTAGTGATAATACAAATCTAAAGAGTTTGTTTGTTTAAATGCGCTAATCTCAGGAACTACTGGTCCGCCTTGCAGAATAATACGCTATTGTATTATACTGTTAGCAAATCTTAAGATTGATTGCATTCTTTCATTTCGCTCTTGGTAATAATCATTATTGTTCTAATCAGTTTTGGAAACCTAAAATCGTCTTAAAATGAATAAATCAATAGTAGAATTAGTCAATGACTGCACGGTTAGCGCGGTGGCTGAGCAACTGGCAGCCGCGCAACGTGTCGCGGGTTCGATTCCCGCACGGAACAACTCTTTGTGTGATCCACGGATTGTTGTTCCGGGTCTGGGTGTCATGTGTATGTGAACGTGTATGTTTGTAAACGCACCCACGACACAGGAGAAAATCCTAGTGTGGGGCAACGTGTCTTTAAAAAAAAAATAAAAAAAAATAGTAAACCAAACGCAAAATCACCAAAAAACCAGTTCAACCTCACCTAGTATTCAAGAACTTGTTCTCCGGGTAGTAAATAGACATGTAATTCCTGGCGACAGTGAGTGCGATCCTGGCAGACTCCTTCATGACGTCACCGAGGTGGCCGGTGACCTCCATGGACCCGAACGGAGACTTGTCATCCTTCGCCGCGTTCCGGATCGCTGTCTCTATGAATAATGTGCTGCCACCTGGATGTAAGGGAATTGGTTAGACTTGTTAAGGAAATATATCCCTTAATGTTAGCTTAAATGTTAGCCCTAATATGTTTTTTTTTATGGCATAAGCCGGTAAACGAGCAGACGGATCACCTGATAGTAAGCAATCGGCGCCGCCCATGGACACCTGGAACACCAGAGGCGTTACAAGTGCGTTACCGGCCTTCTGGATTAGGAATTTGAGGATTGTTGGGGATTCAGGAATTGGGGAGATTGGGGAAGGGGAGGGTAATTGGGCCTCCGGTAACCTCACTCACACGACGAAACACAACGCAAGCGTTGTTTCACGTCGGTTTTCTGCTCGGCCGTGGTATCACTCCGGTCGAGTCGGCCCAGCAGTGCCGAAGCATGGCTCTCCCTCAATTAGACGAAGTTGTATGTTTATATTAGAGCTTTCTTCAGATATACTAAATTAATTATAATATTTTCAACTTCTCATGTAACTGCTGCTGCTTATGATTATGTCGCGGAATGCTGTTCATGAATATGAGCCTCTAGCATGGCTTGAAACTAGTCGAGTTCTTCGTCAAACAGTTACGTGATTAAACCGAAAACATAATAATCAAATTAATTTTTTATCCACTCAAACATCTGGATGACTGTGGTCACCCAAAACTTTTTGGCATTGGATGACAGCTATCAGACTAGGACGTTTCAGTTAAAAATTAACCCGTTGAAATTAATCCCCAAAATTTGTTCATACAAAAGTAGTCTCTAAACATTGGAAATAAGGTCTAAAATGTAGTTATTGGAGAGTGGTCTCCGGTGACTGCTTGGGGATGTATGGATTACATTATGTTACCAAGTCATAAAATACTTGTATCACATTTACCAAGAAATGAAGAATAATAAGAATAGACTCACCCATAGCAGTCCAAGCAAGTCCCATAACAACTCCGGGTGGCGTGATGTTGTACATGCGATCGCGTTTGAAGGTCGGCTTGCCAACCAACTCGCTCAGGTTCGCTTCCGTCACTTTGAGGGATTCTGTCTCTTCTTTCACTATCTTATACGCTACTTTCCTTGCTATCTGTTGGAGTATAGACAAAGTACAGTATTAAAAATAGATACAGAGAAGTATGTAGGTAAAGGGAGCAGTAGGGAATAGGGGTGATGTATTTAAAAAATGATAAAAACCTATCACCGTCTCTAATCGAGACAAGTGAATTTATTTCTGAAAATAGGCTACAAGGCAGCTCTTTACACGTCAATTTTTTAAGCGAAAGATGAAGTCGACATTTCCTAACTGACTACTCTGAGAAGAAATGCCGAAAGAAACTCAGAGGTCTGTCTCTTTTAAAGTCAAGAACTGCTGAAACAAACTTCAAACTGATGATGAATTAATGAATAAAAAGTGAAAAAGTGTCAACACTAGGATTATTTAACATCCATTCAAGACCTCCGAAGACACAAAACCATAAAAAAAATATAAACATTACAAAATATCCATCCAGGAAAGTCACTCTGTCTACCGACAGAGACACAAAGAGATGCGTTCGGTACTCTGATTGGTTGGCTCGTTGGAGTCGGCCAATCAGAACGTCGAACGCGTACTCGTTTTGATTACTCTAAGCGTAAAACGAACACGTACAAAGATACGATACCCGCAACATTACAGGTGTCACAAATATGTTCATTGTTGTTGGTGGGACTTCTGTTTCCCTTCAACAATGTTTGTTTGTCATCAATGAAACATAAGACATAAAGGTACCTTCTCGATATGTTTCTGCAGGTTCCTGACGCCGCTCTCCCTGCAGTAGGAGCGGATGAGTGCGTGCAGGGCGTCGGGCGTGAGGTCGAGCTGGGCGGCGGCCAGCCCGCAGCTCGCGCGGGCCGACGGGACCAGGTACTGCTGGGCTATTGCCAGCTTCTCTTCTGCTACGTAACCTGGATACCAAAATACGTAATGACAATAGGGGCATCTTATCAAGTTGTTTCTAGAAAACTTTACTCAAGTAACTACTACTATAAAAAACTGTTGAAAGCTAATCCTCCATTAAAGTCAGTCACCACTGACAGATACAGCATTCAATGTGTTAGGCATTTGTGTGTTAAATTATTTTCAGTACCATAATTTTTCTAGATTATCTTAACTAGACGGAAAATTATCACTTCAAGCCTTTGACTGCCAACAGAAAACTGCTGAAGGCATATCCTCCGCTAACATAGGTCACCGGTGACCTACGTATGTTTAAGGAACAGAGTGTATAGTTCCCTAAGATCGGAAAAGGAGAATCCTACGACCAAGCGAGATGATCGTGCCTGGCGGGCTTTCTGCCCAACTGTTGTGCATTAGGATTTCCTATCCGTATTAATTCGCATGTAAACTTCACATGTGCGATGTAGGATTTTGTTACGTCATCTGTTGACATGTGACGTATATCGCCACAAATGTGTGAGAGAGCCACGCTTCGGCACTGCTGGGCCGGCTCGACCGGAGTGATACCACGGCCGAGCAGAAAACCGACGTGAAGCAACGCTTGCGTTGTGTTTCGTCGTGTGAGTGAGGTTACCCGAGGCCCAATCACCCCAATCCCTGAATCCCCAACGATCCTCAAACTCCTAAACCCCAAAAGGCCGGTAACGCACTTAACCCCCCCCCCACTTCCCCCATCACCCCAATTCTTGTAACTCCAACAATCCTTAAATTCTTAATCCCTAAAAGGCCGGTAACGCACTTGTAACGCCTCTAGTGTTCCAGGTGTCCATGGGTGACGCTAATTGCTTACCATCAGGTGATCCGTCTGCTCGTTTACCGGCTTAAGCCATAATGAAGTTATGCAATTAACCTATAAAGCAATGTTTAGTTGGATGTAATAACAGTAATCTTCAAATGTATTTTGAAACTCACCAGACATATCAATAAGTTCCATCCTGTCCCGGAGTGGTTCAGGGATATGTTCCACCACATTGGCAGTACAGATGAACAGCACCTTGGACAGGTCCACCGGCACGTCCAGGTAGTGGTCCAGGAAGTTCGCGTTCTGTTCCGGGTCCAAGAGTTCTAGGAGAGCTGATGATGGGTCGCCGTGAACACCCCTAAAATTGTCAATTTCACTTGTTTAATTTAACTCGTCGAGTACCGGTTTTGTAGACACAATTATAGAACAATAGGTTGCGGTCACCGGTGACCGCTTGGTGTTTGACAGTTTAAATCTTCTCTGTGAAGAAATAACTGTTGATATTACCTTATCTAAATACGTCTACCGTCTCCATACCACATCGATATAGGAAAACGCATAACATAATATCACGCCTTTTATCCCTGAAGGTGTAGGCAGAGGCACATTACGGTACTTAATGTTGCTGTACAATGTAACACCCAATTTTCACTATTTGTGTTATGAGTTCCATGTAATAGGGGGTAAGCCTATTGCCATACACCGTTAAATTTGAATCGTTTTAATCCCTTGGAGGTTCGAACTGGTCCATGAAACACTATCGATTTGTAAAGATAAAATTAAAAAATAAAGTACTTTTTTTTTAATAACTCGAATCAATTCTCGCATGAGTGAATAAATAATGCGAGCCGTTAGTAGGCAGCATTCGCAACGACCGATGACGACGTAGGTAACTATCTCGTGGCGCAACTTTTGGTTTCATACATTTTGCGAGTATAATCTTATCATTTGCTAATTTATTTATTTTTTATGTTACACCGCAGTACAAGCTTGTAATGAGTAGTATTCTGTTAGTTAAACCACAGGTCAATGGGATTAAAACGACTAAAATTTAACAGTGTATATCAGGCACATTTCCAGACTCCGTGCTACTACTGCTGAGAATTTTTTTAAAAACCCAGAAATACTTTGCTCGACCCGGGAATCGAACCCAAGACCCCTTAGTCAATGAAGCATTCAAGGAAAGAAAAACGCAGTTTATATAAAATAGTGAACACCCCCCAAAACATCCAAATAAAAAATGACATCTAGTGATTATATAAAATAGAGCCTTGCAGTACATACAACTGAAAATCAGTGTTGGGTGCTCATTGTGCCCAGCTTTATGCTGAGTTGGTGACCCGTTCGGATTGGACATGTCCGCCAACACCGCGCACTTGAATGGCTTATTGGCTTGCTTTAGTTTTAGTTTTAGTTTTATAATTTAACTTTTATCTTTTAATTTTTCTGTTTTTATGCTTTTTTTATATTTATGTCTGTCTGCTGCATGTCTTATGCCGAATAAACATTTTTCATTTCATTTCATTTCATTTACATAAACGTATATAACATATAGCTAGTACAAAAATCTTAGCCTTCATTCTGGAACCTTCTACTTACTTGCCAATTTTGTCCACCTCATCAATAAGCACCAACGGGTTCTCAGTTCCAGTTTTCTTCAAGCACTGCACCAGTTTCCCTGGCATAGCTCCCACGTACGTCCGTCTGTGTCCTTTGATCTCCGCAACGTCTGTCATACCTCCCACTGAGAATCTGAAGTATTGTCGGTTCAGGGCCCGGGCGATGGAACGAGCTGAAATATAACTTATGTTTAGGATCTGAAGATTTAATTTTGTTTGTTTTGGAGTTAAATGATGATTAGGTTAGATGGCAAATTTTTATTTTAATGTCTGTCTGGTAGATTATTTTAAAACATTACACACGTATTTTTTATTTTCTTACAGAAACGAATACTTTCGACGATATATTGATTTGAAATGTCGCGTGACGTCACTTCTATGTACATTTTATACGTAGAAATGACGTTTTAGCCCCCACTCCTAAACTTTGATTCGTTTTATCTAAGTATTGTTTTATTATACGACAAAATAAAAAAATAAGTGTCTAATATTTTTAATTAGGTACCTAACTTACGGACTAATTAGATTTTTAATTTTCATATCCTGTCATCATCCCATTTAAATGGTTAAAAGTTGCCATAATTTGGTCTATCTAGCAACTGCTAAGCTAAAACTCTTAGTATTAAACAGTCAGCTGAATAAATCTTTCATAAAGGAAAATATTCACTTACCTATACTAGTTTTACCAACACCAGGAGGTCCATGGAAGCACAATATCTTGCCCTGGGTAGAGCCCTTCAGTTGCGACACAGCTATGAACTCCAATATCCGTTTCTTTATATCCTCCATGCCGTAGTGGTCTTCATCGAGTATCACTTGAGCGTCTTTGAGCTTGAGATTCTCTTCTGACGTCACTCCCCAGGGTAAGGAGGTCAGCCAGTCTAAGTAGCAGCGGGTGACACTGGAATATGAAGTAAGTAATTAAGAGTTTACTGCGCAACGCACGTCATATTGTTTGTGCCCAACGATGACTATGAGTCCTGACACGGCTTGATTAACACAACGAGTTACTTCGTCAAACAGAGGGCTTAGTACGATTTTGTTTTACGTTTAACGCAATCGAGAGGTTAAGGTGTTTCACACTCTGATTGGCCGGCTCTAATGAACCAAGTCAAGTGTGGGAGAGCCATACTTCCGCATGAACGAGCCGGCTCGACCGGAGTGATACCTCGGCCGAGCAAAAACTGACGTGAAACACTTGCGTTGTGTTTCCTCGTGTGAGTGAGGTTACCGAGGCCCAAGTCTCCCCAATCCCCGAAGCCTCTGGTGTTCCAGGTGTCCGTGGACGACGCCGATTGCTTACCTTCAGGTGATACGTCTGCTCGTTTACCGACTTATGCCATCTCAATCTCTGTTAAATATGTAGTTCCTTAGCCGGCTTTGAGGACATCCGCAGAAAAAGGAGACGTAGTGAAAAATATATTCTACTTTGCTGTCACTGTACTGTACGACATGTAACAGTCTATTTATGACATATGTACTATAAAAATAAAATAAAATCTAAGTTTAGTTAGATGATGCCTTATATTGAAGTGTGTATAGAAAGAATAAAATAAAATAAATGTTAAGTACTCCTACTTCTATGAATATCTTTATTCTAATGCAGAATTATGTGAATTAGAACTATAGATTAAGTATTTTGTGAACGGACTATAGCTTAGCTTGTACCAGCGGCGTCGGCCACGTTCCGCGGGATAAAAGTAGCCATTCATTTCAAACATCCCGATCCCTTCAGCCATTTTGACGTGAAGGAGTAACAAATAAACAAACTGTCGTATTTACAATATTTGTAGGTTGCGCAAATTATTTCTAACTTACTTGAACTCAGAGCTATGGCTTTCCAAGAAGTTCAACTTGTTGAGTTCTTCATCGATGACAGTCTGTACTGCCTGCGGTACTTTCTTCTCAGCGAGGCGCTCCTTGAACTTGTCTCCGATAGCATCCTTGTCGTCCTTCTCTAGGCCTAACTCTTTTTTTATTACCTGTCCGACAAATGAAAATTCTTTATAGTTAAAAAACTTGATGTTTTGTACACAGTTAAATAGTAAAAACTTTTTTTATATTTTTTATTTTATCTAAAGCGTAACTTATCAAAATCCCTAAAGCTATCAGTGCATAGAAAATTTAGTTCGAAATAATTTCAAGAAGCGACAAAACCAACCTTGTTCTTATTGGAGTCTACTTTATTGCCTTTCCATTATTAAGTACCTTACTATTGTGTGAATTAAAGCGTTAATAAATAAATGAATTATTCAATATGGGGTGATTTAGTTGGAATTGCAAGGAGCAACACCAATTGGATTTGAAAGAAAAATAGCTTAATGTCAGAAAAATGTATTCTTCTGTAAGATAAAACGGATTACCAACCTTAAGCTGTTCATGTAAGATATACTTTCGATGTTGTTGTTTAACTTTCTCCTCGACTTCTTTGCCAATCTTTTGTTGCAGTTTCGATAATTCAAACTCCTTCTTTAGAAGCGAGAGGGACATCATCAACCTCTTCGGTATCTGTTGAAGTAAATATTGATTTAGATAATTTTTTGTAGTACAATCATTGCACAAGTAAACATCCAATTATCACCAGTTGGGTTTATTATAAGTCTCTAACTATTACAAAACAAAAACAAGTAATGGTAAAACATTTTTCAGGTTTATCCTTACTAATATTATAAATCGGAAAGTGAGTTTGATTGTTTCTTCTGCTTTCACGCCGTAACTACTAAATTGATTGCTTTGAATTTTTGCAGACGTGAAGTTGGAAGTCTGGATTAAATAATAGGGTACTTTTTATTCCGGAAAAATTTGATATTCCCAAGGGAAAACTAAAGTATTGGTATAGATGGCGCTGTATGTATTAGTATATGTCGCATAGGCTACTTTTTTCCTTTTGTGACGCGAGCGAAGACGCGGGTAAAAGCTAGTTATCTATATATATAAAAATGAATCCTTTTTTCCTTTGGTCACGGCATCACGCGTGAATGGCTGGACCGATTTCACTAATTCTTTTTTTGTTGTATTTGTTAATATTAGGAGAAGGTTCTTAAGGTAGAAAAAACCTGAAGATCTACGGAACCGGGAGTAAACGGGATTGCGCGTACGAAGTCGCGGGCAGAAGCTAGTGCATAATATTTTTTTGAATGATTTGACAAAATATGTGGATACATATTGCATAACATACAATAAAATTATGCAAATTTCATATGATCGAAACATAAGTTTTATGTAAATTCCAACTTATGTCAACAATGACTTCACACTGTCTTTATTATCCTCATGATTTAACACATCACCTTCAGTGATAAACCAACAGAATAACTCTTCTTTGATTCAAATTACTGTGGGTGGTTTTTACCTGTGTGTGTGTTTCTTTAGAAGTGATGTTTAGACCCTTGCACATTCTATGGAGGAGGGAACATTTCTTGTGTACTTACATCCATTTCTTCAAGAACAGCCTGTAGCTCTGCTGGCTCCGCCCCAGTGAGTGCGGCGCCCAGGTCCGACAGGTACACTGGGTTGTCCACTACGCGCTGGCCTTGCGCTAACATGTGGTGCAAGGATTCCCTGAAAGAGAAGAATTAGATTAGAAGAAGAAGATTGTTTGTAAATAGACTAATTTAATTCCACTAAGACTTACATTTTGCATTATTTTCGAGATTTTTTACACTAAACTCAGGAAGCAGTTGGCCTGTATGGCAAAAATTAATTGCAACCTCCTTTAAAAAATACAGATTAGAGAAACATGGGCATAAACCTCACCTGTACAAAGGATTCAAGTTGATGATATCTCTAATGGTCTTAATGACCTCCTGGGTCAAGGCCTTCACCTCTTCAGTCTGCTGGAACTTCTCATGCATCAAGTTCTCCACTTTGACCATCATAACTTGATCTGGAGCAGGTTTCTTTGAGTCCTTCGGTTCCTTTGGAGCATCTTCAGCTTCAGCTGTTGCTGTTGTTGCTGTTGCCGTTGCCGTTGCTGCTGCTGGCTCCTTGGAGACCTGCTTCCTCGTGTTCCGATACTTGCGCCGGCGCCGTTCCGCATCAGATTCTTCGCGGGCAACGTTAAGCTCCACGTTAAATAGCGGAAATTTCAGCTTCATTTCTGAAATGTTCAAACCATTTCAGAAATGAAGCTGACAGAATGAGATGACATTTGATGAAAATTTTGACACAAAACAATGAAACAATAAATTTAGAAGCCAAATACCCATGCTTTAAACCCTTGAATTAGAGGTTTCACTCACCAGCAGGCCCACTTTCGATCTCATCTTCGATGAACTGTCCAGTAATCTTAATTCGTCTGTGAGCCATCACAACTAATCTTAATTTATAGTCCATATCTTGCATCTCATGGATCTGTGCAAACACACCCACTTGATGCAAGTCGTCCAAGTTGGAGACAACATCGGACTTCTCATCTTCTTTCTTACGTAAAAATATACCAACATAAGGCTGGTTCAGTTTTACTTTACGTCTTATTAAGTCTATTAAAGCTGGGTTTGATATCTGTAAATGTAAATTGGAAATAAGTTTTTAGACATAATATATTCAGAACATAACCGTAGAATATTAATAAAAAATAAGTTTTGCATAGTCATGGAAGTATCTGCAAACTCATAACAATGAACAATTTATCTTATCAATTCATGACTGAAAAAGAAGGCATAATAATATTTGCCGATTGTACACCATCATAAAATTCATGATCAGAGTTTCTGATGAAACTTATAAGAATGGAATGAGAATTTAATAAATATCAATTTATCCATTTCATCTATTATTGACTATTAACATAGTGCCTGCTATTTAAGATTTAAAATAATGGTATAATATATTATAGTCACTAATGAGTATGGTAAAAAACAGTAAGTTAAGTCAACATTCTTATAAGAATCTAGGATAAATGCTAACTAACCTCAATAAGTTTAATAAAACGCGGGAAGACGGGATTCCTGTTGATGGCGATGACGGGCACTTGTGGCCACACTTCGGGCACGGCCACGGTCGCCGGGAGCTGACTGCTGAACAGCGGCGTCTCATCTTTAGACTCGGGATCCTCATCAGGGGGGTCACTCTTATTGGTTGAAAAATACCTCCCAAATCCCACTTGTTTACTCGAACTCAAAAACGTACTGTTATAACTGCATATCCGCGCACCCCTAGCACCAGCTACCCCAGAGTAACACAACCTTTGCACCGGTTTACCGTGTGATGCAACTTTTGTTACACTACGAACCACAGTCGACTTCAACTTCGGGTTGAGGAAACTGTTCCTTATTAAACTACTAGCAGTATGCATTTTTATAGTCCTAAAACAGATCTAGATGTTTTTTAAGCCGTGTTCCATTTAAATCTTATTTAATCCGGCAGATGAGTAGGTTATTTTTCCAGATTCTTCAAGAATCGAGATTAAGATTGAACTGTCAGAAGTCTGCTAGTAGCACTTTTGACATTGACATTATGACGTTGACGTTTTTTATTCCTTCTAGAGTCGACGAGTTGATGTCGAGGAAGATCCCAATCCTGTCTTCATTTTGTGCAATATTGACGTTGACAAGTGTACAGTACTGACAGTGACACTGACTTTATCACATGAGCAACATGCTGCGTGATGGTGATGTCGAATGTATTGGTATTTTGCAAAAACTGAGCTATTTGACTCAAACGACTCAAACGAATTTAACTAAGCTTTATGAATGCAGCAAGATATTGTAGAGTAGCTACAACCCTTGTCCAGGTTTGTAAATCGATAGACAAACAACTTTGAAAACTATATTAATTTCAATCCTGTAAAAGTTAATTTACCCTGGTAAAAGTTTGTCAACATAACCTTATTTTCTGATTAAACTTAGAAAATTATGAAAATGGATGCTTCGACAGCTATCACAGCTACGAAATCCATAAAGGAAGGTAAGGCAGAGATATGCCTTACAACGGAGAAGGTATTTTATAACCCTGTACAAGAATTTAACCGAGATCTAAGTATAGCAGTGTTGACAATATTTACAAAAGAATACAAAACTGAACAAATAGCTAAAGCGGAGAAAAGAGGTAAAAATAAGCCACAGAACCCTACCGACGAAGGAAGAGAAACTGACACTAATAATGAGGTTAGTATTTTATATATATTGTATTGGAAAAACACTTAAACTGTCGACGAGTTAATAGATTTTTACCATTATTTTAGTTTTTTACTTTCTTACATGAATATTTAAAATTTAATTACTTTACAGGTAGACATTTCAATATTAGAAGCATTGTCTGCAACAGGTTTACGGAGTATCCGATATGCTAAGGAAGTGCCAAATGTGACTAAGATAGTTGCCAATGACCTGTCTAAGCAGGCAGTGGAGACAATACAGGCTAACATCGTGCACAATGAAGTTGAAAATCTTATTGAAACCAGCCATGATGATGCATGGTAAGAGTTATTAATACGTTAATATATCGTACCGTAAGTCCCAAAAATTTGTTCATACAAAAGTTAGTTTCTAAATATTAGAAATAAGGTCTATAATGCAGTTAGTGGAGAGCGGTCACTGCTTGGGGATGGAATAGTAAAAATGTTGTGAAAGATTTAATTTAATTCTATAATAACAGAGACTGACTAGTTAATGTTTTTAGTTTTTAAAATCAGTTTTGTTTTTTGTAATTAAACTATTATAGACTCCATAGTTAGTGCAGTATCTAAGCGACAAATGCTGTCTATAATATTATATGTTCCATATGATTTAATTTTCTTCATATAATTTCAGTATGGTGATGTACAAACACAAGCATCCAATGAAACGTTTTGCGGCAATAGACCTGGACCCCTATGGTTGTCCCTCCGTGTTCTTGGACTCTGCAGTCCAGAGTGTGCAGGATGGAGGCCTCTTGTTAATAACTGCTACGGACATGGCGGTGTTGGCTGGAAATGCACCGGAAACTTGTTACTCGAAATATGGTGCTATCAGCTTAAAAACTAAATGCTGCCATGAAGTGGTAAGTTAATGATATTTATTTTAGTTAAATGGACTTGATCAATTACTGTATTATGCTATTGTTTCATATTCATACTCTGTTTAAACATAATAGCTTCACTTTTAACCCTCTGCAACTGACGTGGTTAAATTGTTACAATTCAACTGAGGTGTATATTATACCAGACACCATTTCAACAGCAAATATTTTTGTAGAATTAAAGTATAGCGAGCACTATAGTAAGATACTTGCAGCAGTGATGCCCGTATTTGAAAAATGACGGTATAACACGTGATTTTGTATTTCGCGGTGTCTGTGGGACTACACGTCAGCTGCAGACGGTTAATTTTATTGTTGACGTTCAAAAGTGCCTTTCTGGTCTAATTGAAATAATTTTTTTTTTTACATATTTAGTTACTTTTTTTTGACATATTTAGTTACTGCTAATTAACTTAGTGTAAGGCTTTTTGTAACAATACTCAAAGAAGAGGCTTTAATAGTATTTACGTTATCCCCAGGCTCTAAGAATAATGCTCCAATGCATAGAATCGCATGCAAACCGCTACAGTCGGTACATAGTTCCTCTGCTCAGCATATCTGCTGACTTCTATATCAGAGTATTTGTAAAGGTTTACACTGGTGCTATTCATTGTAAGAAGACTACAAGGTAAGTTTATATCGACCACTCAAATAATATCTATATGTCAAATAAATAAGAAATTTAAGTACATTTCTTTGATTTTTCTATTATTGATAGAGCAATGTTTGTGATTGACAACATTCATATCCTAAATAATATTAAAAAAAAATAAAGTATGTAGAACTGAACTCCCATAGAAAGTATTTTCCCTTAATGTTAAAATGATGTTATTCACGCTATTAATAAAAGTATCTTGATATGATTAAGGTATACAGTCAAAACCGTTTATAACGACTTCGAAGGGACCGATTAATTATGATTGTTATAACCAATAGTCGCTATAACCAATATCTTTATGCTTTATAAGACAATAGACTGGACCTCAAAATTTCGTCGTTGTACCCGATTCGTCGTTACTAGCGATGTCGTAAGCGGTTTTGACTGTAGTTCAAAATTATTTTATTTCTTACTTCTGTAATGTTTCAGTAAGTTGTCAATGGCCTACCATTGTACTGGTTGCGACAACATTACTCTTCAACCATTGGGTGGGTTCAAACCCAATCCGACTGAGAAGAACCCAACACAGACTAAAGCCTACTTGCCGGCAGCGCCACCTGTCGGCGAGTTCTGTTCTAATTGCAATCAAAGACATCATGTAAGTAAAACCATATAAAAATTCCTTTAAAGGCCTTATACTCAGAAAGGTATCTAGTACCTTTCAATGGTTTTGATCCAAATGACGGTCAACCAAAAAATTTAAATCTAAAGTAACATTTTTGACCTATGTTCTCATTTTTTTATTCTTCAGCTCGGCGGCCCTCTCTGGTCTGCACCAATCCACGATGAAGCTTTCGTAACTAAAGTGTTGAACCACGTGGAAAATAACCCTGATCTCTTCGGCACTGCCAAGCGGATAGCTGGAATATTGGCCATGGTCAGAGAAGAACTGCTGGACATACCTCTGTACCATTCTATGGATAGACTTTGCGGGAGAGTCCATTTGGAGACCATGCCTATGTTAATTATGAGGTTGGTTTAGATTTTGTATTATATCCTATAGCCAATATAGCAGACCACGCTGCTGCAATGTTTTTTAATATGCATTGTATTGATATATAAATCTAGCTACCCATCTTTAAATACAGCCAAGTACAAAAAATTACTTACGAGTAGAGACTGATTATAACCACCCTGCCATATTTTCCAGATCAGCATTACTAAACGCCGGGTACAAGGTGTCATACTCCCACGCATCCCGCATGTCTATAAAGACGCGTGCGCCGGCGCATGTTGTTTGGGACATTATCCGCACTTGGGCACAGACACATCCTGTCAAACCTGCTAAGTAAGTTCTCTCTCTTTCTATTTCTTTTGGACTGACTTACTTAAGGTATCTGATGTTATTTTTCTTTTAAGTCTTTTAATTCTTATCTCTCATTTTAACTCGTCGAGTACCGGTTTTGTAGACACAATTATAGAACAATAGGTTGCGGTCACGGTTACCGCTTGGTGTTTGACAGTTTAAAATTTAAAAAATCTACCCCCTCATTCTTTGTGCAATGCCAATGTTCAGCAGTTAATTGAGTACCGTCATTATAGACACAATTAAAGAACAATATGCGTGTCGTGTTGCGGTCACCGGTGACAGCTTGGGGTTTAACAGTATATTTAGTTTGATGTGGTTAAAAAAATGAAGACTTTCGAAGGACATTCGCTTGCAAAATAAATTTTCTTCTAATACACCTATTTTAAAGACATTCAATAAATAGTTATATTTTGAAACATGAGATATTGTTCAAACTTACGCTGTATTTCTTTAAAATTATTCAGATTGGAAGCTGACCCAGTAGCGCGGTTTATTCTAGCGCAAGAAATCAAGACACCGGTTGACCTGAGCGAGAGAGGCGATGCTAATCCCATCAGCCGACGTGACGGGAGACTGAGGTTCCAGTACAACCCTACTCCACATTGGGGACCGGGGTCCAGAGCTGCTGTCAAGTCAGTATATACCTTTTTTTTTTCAGATCATTCCTCGCACCTGTCTTTGTAGAAGATAGGTATGTTCTCTATTGTACTAAAGTTAACAAGTATTGTTTCCTGTTTTGTTGCAGTGTGGGAGAAGAAAAAATGTCTAAAGCAATCAGAAATCAAAATAAGTACAGTAAGGACAAGGATAAGAAAAATCTTAAACGACCACATTCACCGAGTGATGATGAAGAAATAAAAAATGTTAATGCAAGTGCTGAAACTGCTTTGTAAAGAAATTATATTTAACTTTGTTATCAATTTTGACTTTAATTTAATCCCTTGTTATTTCCCTGAAAGCTGTTTTTGAATAGTAACAACATCATGAAATACTTTTTTTAAAGTACATTACATAAAAATCCGATATATGGCAATAGGCTCACCCCCTATTACATGGGACTCGTAAGCGTAACATAAAAAGTGAAAAGTGGGTGTTACATTGTACAGTGGCATAATGTGCACCTCTGCCTACCCCTTCAGGGATAAAAGGAGTGATATTATGTTATGTTAAATAAATAAAATTTTAAATCAGCAACATGCATTTTGTAAGTTGCATCCTTGTTTGCTACTAAACAAAAAGTCAGGTTCCCCTAGACTCATTATACTCTTTGAAATCAGGTAAACGGTAAATCTACCCTCATCGGAGAACCTAAAGGGTTACTGGGTCTCCGGCTCGAAGCGCAGGAGAAGGAGCGGGGTGGTTTTTAGTCAGTAAGAGTCTGACACTCCCTCCTGCCTCACCCAGACGGGAGCAGTCATTTGATGATTTCTCCCCCATAAAAAACCCTCATATTATAGGATATGATCTAAATCATACAGAATCATTGTATGCCTCATTGTTGCTTCTTGTCATGCTTGTGGTCAGTGGTCACTTAAAAGTTAAATAAGTCGCCAAGCCAACTGCAAAAGAGTAAAACTCAACTAAAAACAATAATTTTGAGTGCATCCGCTATGCAGTCAGCTTTAATGACAGTGCGCGTTTCTAAACGAACATGACAGTTGTCAAATGATATACGACTAAATTGAAAAGAAACAAGTTGACAGTAGGTAATTGTATGAATTTCATTGAAAATTCTGTGAGAGCATATGACACTGCGCTTCCAAAACATATCATCGACATTGGTAGGATTATAGTATGACGCAAATGCGAGCGAGGTGATCGCATGAAACTTGCGAAGAGAAAGCTATAAATTATTTAATTGATATTACTTATCGCTTTGGGAATAATTGTCGACGTCGTAGCGAGTACACGTGCCGATGTCATTATCATTTGTTTATTGTTCAGTGACACCAAGACTCTGATATATTAACAACAATATTATTGATTGTTTTGTGTGAAAAACTACGTTTCCTGCAACGATAACAATGCATTTACAGACTTTACTAATTGTTTTTGTTTTATCTTTTGCGTGTGGGCAAGACAGACGGGTGAGTTTCCAAACAATTTCCTTTACATGAAGTAGAATAATTAAAAATGTAAGGTGGTATGGTATCTTTATACACCCCCTTTTTTATTTTGGCTTATCTCTTTGTTTAGAAGGCGAAGGTCATTACTGTTAGATTATTGTTATTATCATTTATAATTATGTTACATATCCTTAACACATAATTATAATATTACTACATATTTATGTGGCTAGACATAATTTTTTTTAATCATAGCATATGCTATGTGTCATCCGTTTTATTTTATATTCAGCCTTGCTCTGGGCAAAGGTGTCATACTACACATCCTCCCACTAAATGTAATAATCTAATGTTTATGTTATTGAACATGATAATATTATCAACATAATATTTGTGTAACCTACTTTATAAGAATAATAACTGGAATTTTATTGGATAACTGTATTTAAATTTTTAAGTTCTTGGTAAGGAAAATGTGAGCAATTTCATTGCCACAACTAACTACTATAATTAACTGGAAATTACTAATAATCCACATTTCATTGTAATGGCCTTCCATTCCTCAGGATAGGCACATAAATAACATAATCTTAAGAAAAAAATTATAGCTTTTCACTTTACTCAAATTAAAACCTTAAATTTTCCACAGATAATACCAAAATTGAATCCTGGTTGTGACAACTGTGGAAAATCAACAACCCTCCTTTATATCAGAGCAGATGGCAGCCAGGATACTGTCCACCAGCTATGGGACTTTACGCGAGGAATGCCCACCATCATCTATGTCATTTCAAAGCTCAATACATCACTGACGATAAACTGGAGATTCAATGAGCCAATGGAATTTAAACTCTCAGAGAAACCTCTGTACAGCTTTGCTGTTTCTATTGATAAGGTAATTCTAATTACTATTTACTAGATTTATATAGTAATGCTTGCATATGACAGTGGGACTGATAACATTAACAGCCACACATAAAACTTTCGTAAATGTTTAGGAACAAAAAACTTGAATTAAAAAAATAATAGGTACATATTAACTCGTCGAGTACCGGTTTTGTAGACAAATTATAGAACAATAGGTTGCGGTCACCGGTGACCGCTTGGTGTTTGACAGTTTAAGTTACAAGAGTTTTCATGTTTCACCAAAAACTTGCCCAATTATCTCCTAAACAAATAATATTGATGACAGATGTTTTGATTTGGGCAAAATGCTATTCAATTATTATATGTTTTGATAAATTCTAAATAATGGCACAAAGTTTGGAATAGTGCATTGTGTTTTCGGCTTTCCTTTAACTTCCTCTTTTAAATATACAATGACATAAATCCTAAATTATGATTACATCATTAAATATCTATTGTACATACAAAGGCTGGAGTTGGATAACATAATTAGTTAATTATGAGTGTATTATTGGTTGATCACTACAAAAATTTAAGGGGCCTTTTTTTTAAGGGGGAAAATCATCCATTGACTTCTCCCGCCTGGGTGAGGCGGGAGGGAGTGTCAGACTCTTACTGAGTAAAAACCACCCCGTTCCTACACCTGCACTAGCTCTAATATAATGCCCTTAAATTAATACTTGTCGGCACGGTTGGTGCGGTGGCTGCGCAACGTGGCGCTGCGCTGGTTCGAATCCCGCACAGAATAACTCTTTGTGTGATCCACAGATTGTTTCGGGTCTTGGTGTCATGTGTATGTGAACTTGTATGTTTGTAAACGCACCTACGACACAGGAGAGAATTCTAGTGTGGGGCAAAAAAAAATCTTTTTCCTGTTCCAATGTTTTTTTATATCTGTTTTCCTGATAACATTGTCAGTACGTAATTTTTCCTGGAATAATCTCTGGTTGATGCTTCCGTAGAAATCCCGCGATATACGATACTATATTAGTCACAAAAATAATATGTATTGGCCGACATGATATCTACATGGCCATGTAACATTATCCATGGAAATACACATTTAGGATAGGACAGCACATCAAGTTACTCCAATCTATCAATCTTGTTCGACAATTTCGACCTTATTACAAAGTTCTAAAGTTGTAAATTCATTAACAAAATAGGGATAACTTTGATATTCTCTGGCAAATCATATTATTATTATTATCATCAATGTATGACGTCATAGGTGCTGGTAAATCGACCCGCATCGTCCTACAATAACATGCATCTGCGTTAAAAGCTAGGCGCATGCGCATACGATTACATTGTTATGTAATCAATGCATTTTGGCATTTTCTATTATACCCCAATTTGATGGTGGAGGGAATTTGGTTGAACCATTGTTATTGAGTTTATTTAATTCCTAAATTCGAGTATTGTAGGGGTGGCCATAATTTTGAATTCATAATTATAAAAATGTGGGTAGCATCGATTTTTGAAATTTGAATTAAACTGTAAGTCTGCTTAAAACTTACTTATAAATAAATAATTATAAGGTAACACATATTTGATATTATATTAAACAATATAGGTACATAATGAAAATAATATAATTGTCATTAAACCCGCCTTATTTACCATTATATTTTGTGTACCTACATACAAAAGTTTAAATAAAGAATTCTTTTATAAACTACGTTTAACCTGTTGTGTGTCTAACTCTAAACGTGGATCCATGCGAGACACAATGTATTTTATATTATGTCTCATATACAGGCATTCAAGCGGTTAAGAAAACCGACTTCATGCCCCCTTTTTTGAAGTCGGTTAATCTAAATACTAAACCCTTCCCCTATGTGTAACAAACACTTTTCATAAAACCGCATCAAAATCGGTTCAGTAAATCGCGAGATAATGGCGCACAAACATGCATACATACACACAGGTCAAACTAAAAACCAGCTTTTTTTGAAATCGGTTAATAAACAATAGATAGATATAATATCACGCCTTTTTAGCCCCGAAGGGGTAGGCAGAGGTGCACATTACGGCACTTAATGCCACAAATACAATGTACAAATGTAACACACACACACACACACACGTAATAGGGGTTTTTTTGAGGGGGGAAAATCATCGAATGACTGCTCCCGCCTGGGTGAGGCGGGAGGGAGTGTCAGACTCTTACTGACTAAAAACCACCCCGTTCCTTCTGCACGCCGAGCCGGAGCCTCGGTTACCCGTTAGGTTCTCCGCGACACATGTAATAGGGTAGGGGTCATCCTATTGCCATATACCCCAGTATATAAACTCAGTACTGAGTTTTTTTACCCAATAATACTTTGCCGTCTTGGGGGTCTAAACCGAGACCCCTTGCCCGGCAGTTGCATTTGCGACAAATCGGCCAACGAGGCAAAGAAAACAATGGCACTGTAGATACACCTTTATGTAGGAAAGTACGCAAACGTTGTTATTTGAGTGTCCAATTTCACTTTCAAAGACAATTTAGGCTAAGCTAAGCTAATGTTTGTTTAATTATTATTACTCATTACTTTGTTATGCTTTTGTTTCTTTGTCAGTTCCTGCCATTCCGTTTTAGTAAGCAGTACCCTACTATGCGCATTGTTGCGAAGTTTTCAATATGATTCATTGAACTATTCTACAAATCTATCACGTTTTCACGAAGGACTTGATCAAGTTACTGCGTTCTGTCTTGCTGTAATTTGGCTACATGTTTAGTAAAGTACTTAGTATAGAAGTTGAAACTTCCCGGAGTCTGGAATTGTGCCCGGTATATGGCAATAGGCTCACCCCTATTACATGGGACTCATAACAAATAGTGAAAAGTGGGTGTTACATTGTACAGTGGCATAATGTGCACCTCTGCCTACCCCTTCGAGGATAAAAGGCGTGATGTTATGTTATGTTAATTTTCGATTTATTCTAGCATTAAAACAAAAATAATTGTTCTATTTGACTCGAAAATATATATATAACGTCAAAATTGATAGAACAAAACAAATCGTTTTTGACGTTTCGATAAAAGTATTGAATTTGATTAGTTGTAAAATACCGTATTAGCGCGTTTTAAAGGTCACTAACTCCTTGATCACTTCCGAATTTGAATGTGATTCGCATCCTACATAATATCCGAATTCTATTGATACCTGCCAGTAGGCACGTAATTTGGGGCGTTTGTGGAATGTTTTTTTTTAACCCTGACCCACACTAGGATTTACTCCTGTGTCGTGGGTGCGTTTACAAACATACAAGCTCACATACACATAACACCCAGAACCGAAACGACTAATTTGTGGAGCCACAAAGATTTGCTCCGTGTGGGAATCGAGCCCGCTACAACTTGCGCGGTAGCCGGTTGCCGCGCAACGTGTAACGAGTGTGTGTTGGTCATGGAAATGGTCGTTCCTTCGGGGCCCACTGAGGATGAAGGTTCTGGGTGCGAGCCTCGAGTGCCCTTATAATAAAGTTGGTACTACATGTTCTTTTTTTTATAGCATAAGCCGATAAACGATCAGACCGATCACCTGATGGTAAGCAATCTGCGCCGCCCATGGACACCTGGAACACCAAGGCGTTACAAGCGCGTTACCGGCCTTTTGGGAATTGGGAATTTGAGGATTCAGGGATTCGGGAGACAAGGGAAATAACCTCACTCACACGACGAAACACAACGCAAGCGTTGCTTAACGTCGGTTTTCTGTGAAGCCGTGGTATCACTCCGGTCGAGCCGGCCTATTCGTGCCGAAGCATGGCTCTCCCACACTAGCTTGTTCTACGGTCTTTACTATTTAGATTTAGCTCTTCAACTTCATGTCATATAAACATTTTGTTATAATCATTCTAAATAACATCAACAATATTACCATTGCAATTACTAAAACTACTCATCACAAGAATGCAAGGCATGTTACTATCCAATATCGACCAAATATGTGCATTTGGTTCTAACAGCCGATAGTCTGAGTCATAGGTTGCGTCCCCATTCCGATCCAACACGACTAAGGACAATAGATAGCAGTTACTGACATAGTAAACACGACTTTATTGCGCAGAAACTAACGGTTAAATTAGGTTGGACGTAGTTTTGAGGACGAGCATTGAAATTGTAAATATTAATTGATGGTTTAAAGATTTAAGGTAATTTCACTAGTTTATTTCTTTAAATATTATTAACTTAAATTTCTTTAAAATGACTGCCTCGTTGGCCGAGTGGTCGTAAGTGCGACTGCCGGACAAGGGGCCTCGGGTTCGATTCCCGGGTTGGGCAAAGTATTACTGGGTTTTAAATATTCTCAGTAGTAGCACGGTGTCTGGAATTGTGCCCGGTATATGGCTATCAGCTGACCCCCTATTACATGGGACTCATAACATAAATAGTGAAAAGTGGGTATTACATTGTACAGTGGTATAATGTGCACCTCTGCCTACCCCTTCGGGGATAAAAGGCGTGATGTTATGTTATATATTTCTTTAAAGGAAGACATAGTGTATTTATTTATGTGAACTCCAAAGATAATTCTGTTTCTAACTGACTAAAGCGTTCTAAAGATCTTTCTGTCTGTCTTCTCATTAGCCTTAGGATCAAAGCTAGACTTGAGAACCTGGCTCCGACTTTCAAAGTATAATTAAACGTGTAATTTTATAATTTCTGCCTATATATTTGTCGTAGTCTTATTTTATTTCAGCCAAGAACAAACTGAACTGTAATGACCCAGATATCCACAACCGTGAAGGCAATTTCTTTGTAAATAATTGCATTTTATAATCTTACGTAACATGTTTCACTCAGACGTCAATAGCTTTAGGAAAGATGTCTTTTTTAGAAGGAAATCATCCAAGAACTTCTCCGCCCTGGGTTAAGAGAAGGCAGAGGAGAGGGAGTGTCAGACTCTTACTGACTAAAAACCACCCCGTTCCTACTCCTGCACTTCGAACTGGAGCCCCGGCAACCCGTTAAGCCTTCTGCGGCTCCGTATCAGCCCGCAGTTGCATTGCAATTAAGTTATAATAAATTGGCTAGTTTTCTAGGTTTAAAATAAATAGTTCTAACTCTTCCAAGCAATAAATAATTAAAAAATAATCATACTCTCATCCATTGATTTGACAATTTACTTACTTTTGGATTTTTTACCCGACTGCCAAAGAAGGAGGGTAATGTTTTTCGAGTGTATGTAAGTATGTATGTATGTCTTTTCCTTTGTGACCACCTGTAGCCTAAACGGCTTGATGGATTTTGATGTATGAGGTATCGTTAGATTTGTCTTGATTACGGGAGTGTCATAGGATACATTTTATCCTAAAAGTCCCACGGGATAAAGACATAATAATATTTTTTCTAAATTTCCCTTTAAAAAAATATGTATGCGGTATCATTAGATTCATTTCAATCACGGGAGTAATTAATATAGGATACGTTTTTTCTCAAAATTCCCACGGGAACATGTTAATTCTGCGTCAACGCAAAGCAACTCATGCGTTAGCAAGCAAAAAGATAGGGCGTGGCCTGGCATGCGGCGCGCGGCGCGGTGCGGAGGGGGATATGCTCGAGTATACAGCCCGATTGCGGGCACACGCATGAGGGCACACGTCGTTGACGGTCGTCTCTAAATAGCGATTTTATTCGATATATCCCTATTTGTATATATCGAAATAAAAACAGCTAAAAAGTTATAAATAAAAAAATTATTATTAAAAAAACAAAATACCCGACTGCACACTAAAAAAAGAGTAAAACAAGCCCCACAATAATATTGATCAATCAAATGCTAAAAACTAATTATGTAATACCGTTTAAACAATACCTATATTAAAATACACTACAATATGTGTTCGTAATCGATAGTTAAATAAACAGAAACTTATTTTGAATACAAATTTACTGAATATAATTTATAAATGTTGATGGAAAGCATCGCAGGCGGGGACCACCTTGACCGCCACCAACGAAAATTCTGCTAAATGGTGCACAACCGAAATGACTATAAATAAGCCTCTGTTGGTCCCCGCCTGCGATGCTTTCCATCAACATTTATAAATTATATTCAGTAAATTTGTATTCAAAATAAGTTTCTGTTTATTTAACTATCGATTACGAACACATATTGTAGTGTATTTTAATATAGGTATTGTTTAAACGGTATTACATAATTAGTTTTTAGCATTTGATTGATCAATATTATTGTGGGGCTTGTTCTCGCTAATTTTAAGGAAATAAGTATGCTATTTGACGCAGAAATATGATGACGTCATAAGTTGCGATCCAATACAAAATTCATAGAAAAGTATCGTTTTAGACATTTCAATAAAAGTATTGAATTTGATTACCATATTATTTTATAACAAAACTCATCAATATAAGTCCGTGACAGACTACTGCTGAGCCTCCTCTTTGTTCTACATACATAGTATTTATTTTTAAAAGGGGTATGGCAGTAAGGCTATTTAGGATAGTTAGTCACCCAACTACATCCTCTTAACCGCTTGAATGTCAGTATATGAGACACAATAGAAAATACGTAAGTACGAGTTAATACGTTGATATATCGTATCCAAAATTTGTTCATACAAAAGTAGTCTCTAAACATAGGAAATAAGGTTTATAATGAAGTGAGTAGAGAGGGGTTACCGGTTCGGTAACCGATTGGGGATTGAACAGGTAAATGCAATAATCGCATAAACCACCGCACTGTAAAGAATTATACGGCTTCATTTAGCTTGCACAGTTTTCAGGATTCATGGTGACGCATTTTTCTACCTATTTTCTGAAACATTCATTTGTTAGCATGTCGTGGTGACCCGGAGGTTTAAGGCTCCCGCTTCCCATGCATGAGGGTGCGAGTTCGAAACCTACCAACGGCAAGTACCAATGTGACTTTTTCCAAGTTACATGTACTTTCTAAGATTATCTAGACACCACTGACAAACGGTGAAGGAAAACATTGTGAGGAAACCTGGGCTTATAATTTCTAATTATAAGTTTGAAATCACCAACCCGCATTGAGCAAGCGTGGTGATTAATGCACAAACCTTCTCCGTGTGAGAAGAGGCTTTGCTCAGCAGTGGGTATTATAGGCTGTTGATGATGATGATGATCAATTTATTTACTGAATGAAACCAACTATATCTTTATACGATAGGAAAGTTTTTAACTAGATGTTTAAGAATAAGTAAAAAAAAATATTGATTAATTCGAAAACTCTCTATTTACTCTAGAAGAAATCCTCTCGACCAAGGAACATTTGTGAATATTATCTGTAAACTAAATTATTCTGTTTGAACAGTTGTTGATAAATTCTAATTACGTAGCAACTACTTACATGGTGTTCGCCGAAGGAGCTGTGTAATTGTAATTTGTACTGAGTCATTATTACTAGCAGTAGCTACCAGTTCATATTAATCTGTTGTTTCCTATGGATAATTATAATCTACTAGCCTCTGCCCGCGACTTTGTACGCGAAATCCCGTATTTTTCCGTTCTCGTAGGATTTTCGGGAAATACTTAGTTAAAAAGTATCCTATGTCCGTCTCCTGGTTCCTCCCCACCAATTTTCAGTCACATTGATGTGGCTTAACTAGAGTTTGAGTTGTAAATAGTGTAACTAACACGACTTTCTTTTATATATAAATATATATAGGTTAGTATTAGATAGGATTAATAAGATAACCTATTTTGCTATATTTTCCCTTGTTAAATAGAATATGGTGAAATCATAGTATAACGAAATATTAATTTTTACTTTTATAGGTCTCATAACTGAATAGAAATAGTGTATCTTTGATTGAGAGGTTAAAAGTGGGACTGCGGATTATAATCTCAGATTCGCAGGCATCGCAACCTTCGCAAACTTCGCAACCTGGAGGCAGAATATTACACGGTTTTTGATAACTCGCCTGGAATGGTGTCTAGTCCGTCCTCTCTCTCATAAACATTCGGGAATACTCTTCAATGAGTAAAACATCCATTATGTAACTTAATTTTTTTTATTGTTCCAGCTAACTGAATATAATGACATCGAAAACAACGGGTACATAGACAACAGATGCCCACAGAGGGCGCTGTCATTGCGCGACTTGGAGTGGACGCGTGGCAACACTGTGTTGGACAACACGGAGGCAATGGTGCATATGCGCGGGAAATTCGGGGAAGATAATCAACATGGCGTTATTGATATGAGGGTAAGTTATTGTTTCGAGATAAAAATTGTCTGTATTATAACAATGTTGTAGGGATAATAACATTATTTTTGTATTTATTTTATCTTTCATAATAAGTTAGTCAACATGTTTTGGTAATAAGGTTCACTTTTAGTTTAGGTAGCTTGGATAAATGCAAAGAGGTGTTGCTTGAACAGATTTATTTTCACACTAGTTGGTATTATAATATTACACTGCTTTAAAAGGATGGCTTCTTACTCATACTACAATAGGCACACACACATGCATATGTATCGAACACAACATTTTCGGTGTACCTACTTACGTAGGTACCTCGACGAGGTAACCCGACTAATTTCAAGCCATAGTAGGGGCTAATAGTCATAAAAAGGAAGAGAGTCATCAAATGCAAGCTGCATTACAAAATAAACTTTGCAATAAAATGTAATATTTTATCACCAACAGCTCGACCTCCTGCCATTCAAGGATTATGCAGTAGACCTGCCACATCTGATCCACACAGCTAACTCCACTCTGGTAGACGTCAGCCTAGTAAACCTGACGTCATCGCCTGATTACAACGCGTCCCGGTTTGCCCTGCATTTCACTATAGTGAGCACGGACGCGAATAACGAGAACATGAGCTATAGTATGAGGAAGAGCTTGGATGATGAACATACTCCCGGCGTTTTTGAGGTGAGTAGACAACTACGGTAGTTGACAGGTAGTCAAATTCAATACTTCTATTGAAATGTCAAATACGATATTTTTCTATGAATTTTGTATTGGATTGCAACTTATGACGTCATCATATTTCTGCGTCAAATAGCAAACTTATTTCCTTAAAATTAGCGAAAAAAAATCCAAAAGTAGGTAAATTGTCAAATATTGATTTGACAAATTACCTACTTTTGGATTTTTTAAATAATCATACTCTCAGCTATTGAGATGATTTTTTAATTATTTATTGCATTGAAAAGTTGAAACAGTTTATTTTAAACCTAGGAAACTAGCCAATTCTCCTGTTAACTAACATGTTACTTCAGACAATCTATCTTTATGATATAACAACACGCCTATTATCCCCGGAGGGGTAGGCAGAGGTGCACATTATGGCACTTAATGCCACTGTGTAATGTAACATCCACATTTCACTATTTACAATTCCAGACTCCGTGCTATTATTTTTATAAATTTTTGAAAAACCTAGTAATATTTTTCCCGACCCCGGTATCGACCACTCGGCCAACGAGGCAGTCTATGCTTTTCATTTATATCCATTCTATAGTTTTTGATCTATTGAGTTGAATCTGGTTAACATATTAAACGCCATGGGAGTCACGGGTGACCGTCATGTTATCGAAGGATTTGCCTTCAACAATTTTCTATTGGCAGTCAAAACCTTTAATTTGGCACAGAGACAGATCAAAAGATAAATAAATAAAGTTTCCGAGAAATAATCTATAACCTATCTATCTATCTATCTATATAAATAAAAATGTATTTATGTTCGTTAGTCTCGCTAAAACTCGAGAACGACTGAACCGATTTGGCTAATTTTGGTCTTGATAGGTTCGTGGAAGTCTAGGGAAGTTTTAAAAGGTGAGAAAAAACTTTTAGGCGGTACGAAGTTTGCCGGGTAGTTTCAAATAATTCATTGGCGAGAACTGGCAGTAGTTATCTTTATTTGCATCCCTTATTTTGCTATTATGCTTTTACTATAAATATAAAGGAACCTATGATGACCCTTTAAGTACATAATGTTTTATTCGTCATATATGCTTTTGTTTTAACACTATAACGTATAATCCTCAGATATTTGAGATCAGGACCCCTAAGTCGAGCCGGTCGGATGACGGCGGCTTCATACAGTTCCGCCCCGTCAGCTACACGGAGCAGGAACGCAGCGTCTCGTCCTCTACCAACGCTTACATATCTAACTTTACCTGGTAAGAATTCATTCTTATTTCATTATTTATTCACACACGCAGTAGTTTTTTTTTTCTTTTTACATAACATAACATCACGCCTTTTGTCCCCGAAGGGGTGGGCAGAGGTGAACACAGAAGTAACACCCGCTTTCCACTATTTATGTTATGAGTCCCATATAATGAGCCTATTGCCATATACCGGGCACGATTCCAGACTCCGTGCTACTACTGAGATTTTTTAAGAACCCAGTAATACTTTGGTCGACCCGGGAATCGAACCCGAGACCCCTTGCCCGGCAGTTGTACTTGCGACCACTCGGCCAACGAGGCAGCAGCAGAAATTTTTGTTTGTGCCTCTAAAATGTCCTAAGGCGTGATTTTTAAAGGACGGCAACATATTTGTAACTCCTTTGCTGTTGCAGATGTCATGTGCGATGCTTATCGCCTACGATCAGGCGAATCGCCTCCTAAGGGCCAAGCACGAATAACAAGCGCATTCGTATCGTAACAGTATCGAGCGAGTTAAACGTTCTGATTGGTTGGTTCACTTGAGCCGGCCAATCAGAGACCCGAACGCGCTCGATACTATTACGTTACGAATGCGATAGTTATTCGTGCTTGGCACTCTGTTTACTTTACCCCTATCCATACAAAAATGTATGTGATATTATATTATATGCAGATATAAAATCCCCTATTTTTGCAGGACAACAATACCCAAAACGAGTACGTTGCGCATGTTCTACGAGGAGTTCGACACAGCCAACCTGTTGGTGCAGGACATGTTCATCTCCTTCGGGTTGCCCGGCGACGGCTACTACAGGCAACATAACTACACTTCTTGGTAAGTTACGACTTGACTATTACTTTTTATTTGTAGTATGAAAATATGTTTTTATAGTAACTATCGTGAGACACGATGGATTAACTGAAAATGACTGACTACTCGCCGCGACCGCGCACGCTGCTCATGAAGAAGAGTCCTTCTGTGACTCGAAACTAGTTGAGCTTTACTCAATACGTGAGAAAACTCGTCATTTTTAGTTAACTCAGTATGAAAGTAAATTCTTAGCCGTTTGCCTCATGTACAGTCGAAGTCAAAAGTCGACTAGCAATCTCACAAAATTATGACGTAGCAATTGAAGTTGTACATAAAACTTTCTTCTATAAGATATGTGTGTGTGTGTGTTTCCCCGTATAACGGAGACGAATAAGACGATATTTGTCATTTCGGTGTAAGTGGACTTGTGACGATTGACTGTTCTTTTTGTCCGTCCGTGGTATTGCGTAAAAACCTTTCTTTTTCTGTTATTATATAACTTTATTATATAACATCACGCCTTTTATCCTCAAAGGGGTAGGCAGAGGTGCACTGCCACTGTACAATGTAACACCCACTTTGCACTATTTATGTTATGAGTCCCATGTAATAGGGGGTGAGCCTATTGCCATATACCGGGCACAATTCCAGACTCCATGTTACTACTGAGAATTTTTCAAAAACCCAGTAATACTTTGCCCGACCCGGGAACCCTAGACCTCTTGCCCGGTCGCACTTGCGAACCACTCGGCCAACGAGGCAGTCTTTTTCTGTTAAATTAACTAATTATTCCTCTCTCCAGGTCCTTCACGATAGGCTACGGGATCCCACCAGTAGAAAGCTTCTCCCTATTTGTGATCATCATCATATCCATCGGACTTGGAGTGCCCATCCTCCTAGCACTGTCAGGCATCACGTTCGTCATAGTAAGAAGGTGTAAGCAGAGAAACCCACCAACAAGGTTTACTGATGATGAATAAGGTAAAATGAGAGATAAATAACCGTTTTCACCAACCAACCATAAACAATCTCTTAACTAAGAGTTACTTAGCGTGAGGGAGCACCTAATGTGACCGTTTACCTGTACTGTTAGGTGTCACTTATTAGTTGGTGATAATCAAAATGTCGTTGAAGTGTCATCTATCTTAGCTTAGGAGTTCCTTAAAATTGAAGAGGGGTTGGTGGAAACGGGCTGAAGTCAATTTGGTAATAGTATGGTTGGTTACAAAAGTTGAGAAATTGACGTTTTATATATTTTTTTTTACCTATTTGTTTAAACTATCCTCAATCGTTAAGTTTTTATAATAACTATCGTGAGACATACTAAATTAACTAAAAATCGCGGGCTACTCACGTGAAAATACTGGGAAAAGCTCTACTGGTTTCGAACCACCGTTTTCCTCATGAACAGCGTGCGCGGTCCCGGCGACGTCGCGCAGCCTAAGCTGCTAAACTAGTAGAGCTTTTCTCAGTATTTTCACGTGAGTAGCCCGCGATTTTTAGTTAATATTTTGATAATTGATATTGATTACAAACTTATATATATATCGTTGACAGATTGTGTTTATTATAATAATACAGAATGTTAATACAATGTTTAGTTGTTTTACAAATTATACACAATTTTATTTTAATTTAATTCCGTCATCAAGTTTTGTAGCCAACTGTACTTTGATTACATTCTGTTACATATCATGCATAATTGAATAAATGTGTTGTATGACAAAATCAGTCATACACAAAAATGTATGTATGATATTCCCGGGTTATGTGTATTGAAAAATGTAGTGAAGATGAAATGTTAAACGTTTTTGTATGTTTGCTACTAGAATCGGATTGTATTAGACGTGAAAACAGCATTAAAACATAATTAACACAGTGGATGCCGTGTCAGACAATAATGACCTACGCTAGCGGAGAATTAGCCTTTAATAGTCATTGTTAGCAGTTAAAGGCTTAATAAATTAATCACCAAACGGCGCATAACTTCAAAACGGCTGCACCAAATTGGATAAATATTATTTTTCTGTTTGTTGTGTCCGTTATACATATATAGGACACCGAGACTAATTCTTTTAAAGCATATAAAAAAAGATTTTAAAATAGGGTAGTTTCCAGAGTAAGAAAATCAAAAATCTAATTAGTCCGTCAGTTAGATAATGAAAAAATATTAGACACGTATTTTTTTAGTTACTGTTACTCGTGTAAACTTACAATACTTAGATAAAATGGAGTTAAGTTTAGAAGTGGGAGGTAGTTACGTCACAACTTGCTACATTTCGTAGCACGCTGTGACGTCACTCGACATTTCAAATCAAAACCGTCGAAAGCATTTAATTTTGTGAGAAAAGAAAAATACGTGTCTAATGTTTTAAAAGAATCTACCAGGCGGACATTAAAATAAAAATTAGACATCTACCCTATTCTACGTATGGTTTTATTGTTGAAATTGTGTATATGTTAGCACAATTACACAATTATAATGCTTATGTCCAAATACTTGAACGCTAGTCAATTTTAAGTCGCGCTAGGTATCGTTCTGTCACCACAAATTCTTTTGAAAATGACAGAGATGGCACGATATTTAAGTATAAATTGAAATTCAGTAGCCTTTCAGTATGTGGACGTAACCTGTTTATTATACCTCTAGAGCTTCAGTGTACAAATTGGTTTAAAAATTGTTTTGACCTAAGTGTCGGACTTTGTTTACACAATTTTAGCAAACATTAATTATTTTGATAGAAACTGTATATAAAAATCAGTTATATCATCGATAATGCCAAATCGATATATCTATTCGGCCGATACTTAGTTAAATTTAATAGTATAATGGAATTAAACTGACAAACCAAACTATATTTAATATTTTTAATTTTAAATTCTTCATATTAGAACTAATTAATTACTTTTTTTTCGGCTTACTCACGTAGCTGTTTGACGAGGAACTAGACTAGTGTCAATCCATGCCATGCAGCGCGACAGTCGCCGCGTCGCGGGTCGCGGAATGCTGCTCATGAATATGAGCTTCTAGCATGGCTTGAAACTAGTCGAGTTCCTCGTCAAACAGTTACGTAAGTACCTAAGCCGAAAATAAAATAGTTATTTTAAGTCCTTCATACAGCTTTTTGGAAATATCAAAAATTTAATTGTAATGTTGTGTGTTCTAGACTAGTTCCAGGAGGTGAACGTTAAAAGATTTTAATTACAGACAAAATAATTATTATTATTCTATCGTCTCAATTTTAAATGTACATAATTAAAAGTGCCTGTTAGTAGATTTATATTATCACTGCTATAATGGATGTTTCTTTGAAAAGAAATTACAATTAATGAACTAAATTTTTTGTTATGTTCTACAAAATAGGGTAGTTTCCTAAATTTTATTTTAATGTCCGTCAGGTACACACAACTTTAGACACGTATTTTTTCTTTTCTCACAAAATTAAATACTTTCGACGATATAATAATTTGAAATATCGGTGACGTCACAGAGTGGCACATTTTGTAGCACGTTCTGACGTAACGACCTCCCACTCCTAAACTTATCGCTATTTTATCTAAGTATTGCAACTTAATATGAGAAAATAAAAAAAATACGTGTCTTATATTTTTTTTTTATCTAACCGACGGACTAATTAGATTTTTAATTTTGATACCCTGGACACAACCCAATTGTAAAAGATCATACTAAGATTTTCAAAATTGTAATTTGTTATTATAAACTTGTTGTAAAATATTATGCAATTTCTTTTCTTTTTCAAAGAAACTCCTAGATTATGGGTGCAAGTATCTATACATATACCTGACATTGGACATACCTGCCACCCAAAAATGTACCATATCGCATCTACGGTGCAATATCGTCACTTATGCAATTTTTGTCAAACCTTAACTGATGAAAGAATACTCCAAATTCACCTCTTTACTTGGTGCGTTATTTATTGTCATTTGTGTAGTAAGCAAACTGACATTATGAGGGCATTACTGTCGTTACGGTTTTGGCGCTAATCTGTACGGCACAAGGAAAAACAACGTTCCATTGTTCAGTTGCACGCGGGCCCCCGCAATACATAAGTGACGGTATAGCACCGGAGGTACAATATGCTAATAACATTTAAGTATAATAAAGAATGTGTCTCGTCCAGCACAGCATCGCTTACTACTAGACAAGTTGGTGGGACAAACGCCATGCTATTAATTTAAAAAAAAAGAACTTATAAATTTATAATTGTTGTCTAAGTTGTACGTAAAAATTTTAGTTGAATTTATTCCTTTTTTGTTTTATGTGATAATAAACATGTATCAATAATACTGAGATTTCGATCTGATAAGTAGAGCATACTCCTAAATAACTATACCATGTAAATACAGAAAATATAATATAATTAAGGACTCTCTATATATTGATGTTGGAAAGAAAATGTTATTGATATTACAAAAAAATGTTTCCTAAAATATAATTGTGATGTTACAGTATTTTCTTATAAAAAACTATAAATTGAAGCGCATAAACCTATATTTATTGGATTAGTTTTAAGATGTAAACTTTAGTTTGGCTATTTAGGGCTGGTTTCACAATATCTGATTAAGTTGATGAAATCAAATCGTCTTTATTGTAGATTCTATAATGCACCCGGTGATAATGTAGTGCTTCTAATATGCAGCTTCAGGGCAGGGAGTTGAAGGCGTTGGCGATGTCCAAAGACACCGCCACGACGATCTTACCCCTGGACACTGCAGTCCCCGTCATGAGGTCCCTTATGCGCATGATTGCGTCCACTGTGGAGCGCCCACTGCGGAAGCCGAACTGGCCATCCGCGAGATCCGGCCCAATTCCAGACCAAAATGCAGATCTTAAATAATTAAAATAAGTTCAGCTACGTCCCGCCGTTGAGGCATACAATAATAAAATACAAAAAAGAATTTAAAACACAATTATTCATATTAATCTCGATACATTATTAAAATATTCCAAATTATGGTTGATCTGAAATTAATTGACATTTACATATTTATACGCGGTACGCCTATCCTAAGGAAATGCATTAAAATATTCGTCACTTAGACTAATGAAAACTTACTCAGATATTATGAAATAGCCCTTAGGATAAATTCAATGGCTTTTTAATGAACTCTATTCTTTACTTTTGTGAACTTTGAAGTATGTTTTCCTTCATAAATATTCTTTTTGTTAAAAAAGTTAAATTTATTGTCGTAATATATTGAGAATTTATTTATTTGAGACATGAATATTCTAATTTGAGAAAATAAAAAAATAAAAAATATGGAGTTGATACTTTAATGTTAAAACTATTTTGCATTAACAAGACATTTTAGGTACTTTGTTATGACGTAGAACTTTTTAACTTCTTACCTAATTTGACATGAGAATGTCAATTTTGACATTTTGTACCGGGACGTCATCAATGTTTTGTAATGGAATTTTGTATGGTTTTTGTAAATTATTTTTTAGGCTTAATTGTTAGCTTTGTATTTTCTGATGTGATATTAATTTTGATTATGTGTACTTGTTTTGTATATAGGTATATGTGTAATGAAATAAATGCATTAGTATTGTGATGTTTTTGTTTTTTTTTTTTGGGGCTTAGGCGCAGGGGTCGGTAGTGTATATAAGTAGGTTGTGACGTGTTAAGGGAAAGAAAATAGAAAATGTTTTTTCCTTATTGATTCCTCATAAGATTTCCCTCCATTGCAATAAATCGAAATAGAGGTTCTAGCGAAAAAATGACGAAATTTTCTACTCCCTTTTATGTCATCAAGAAAAGATATATTTCCTGATTGATGGATGGGGTGAGAATGACCTTAACCCAAGTGAGCCCATTTAAAAACCCTCAGCTATAATGAATTGACTAAAATTTTCCTGTCGTAAAGAAATTATTATACAATTCCCAGACACCACATACGCAATAACCCAGACTAATTAGCACAGATATGGCGCACGAGCCACTGCGCAGTGTCTGGACGACCTATACAGGCATAAATCAACCACTTTCCTTGTAAAAAGACCGCATTATTTGAAATGCAACTTTACATTTACTGATATAATGTTGAAATTATGTTAGCAAGTGCCATTGGAATGTTGGTTGACATAATTATCTAGTTACTGATTACTGTTGACATATTTAAGGAAGGGCAAAGTGCTACATTGTGATGACAATTAATGTTTTGTTTCATAATCTTTTGAACTTCGTGTAACAGGATTTTAAGGGAAGTTGTTGAAATTTTAAATATATGTATA